TGGTCTGAACCAACGTGTAATACACATATTACCATCTATTGGTTTCATTAATCACTGAGGTTTTATTTCTTTTTCAATGTGCTTGATTACTTCTTGTTTTTTTTTAGTTGAACGTGACCTCTTTCTCTTCCCTATTTTTTCAGTTTTTATTGTTTTTATAATGGGATCCTGACAGCAGCGGGTGCTAATGCAGGCTCTAGCATGTCGGGGACTGTAACGGTAGTCACCGTCACCTGGGGTTTAACACAGACACTTTATGTGTATTTTTTTGGACCCTGGACTATGCCTATGTCTAAGTCACCCTTTGCCCATAACAGGTGCAGGGCGTGTATTGTTGATTTATTGCTATATGTTTTCTGTGCTCTCCTGTCCTGCTTGCTACCAACTAGGTGGATTTGGCTGTGTTGCCTGTTGGTAGCAACAGCAATATGCACTATCTGAATAGCAAGACTTGTTAATTTGCATATTCAGGTAGATTTGCATATTGCAAATTCTGCATTCAAGAGAGGTATTTAGTGCTGGTTATTGTCTCCCTCATCCCTTTATAAATATGTTATTATGCTATTATAACTTCCTGTATGTTTTGTGACATAATTCCTGTCCTAATGTGTTTTATACCCCACTTCCTATAGACGGTAAGCTCGTTTGAGCAGGGTCCTCTTCAACCTATCGTTCCTGTACGTTTTTCTTGTAATTGTCCTATTTATAGTTAAATCCCCCTTCTTATCATATTGTAAAGCGCTACGGAATCTGTTGGCAATAATAATAATAATTATTTGAATTCTATTATGTTTGTCACAACAAGCTTTATGTAATGCCCATATTGGCTAGTCCTGAATTAAAATAAAGTATTGTATGTTATTTCCATTTTGGAACTGGGTGTACTGTGTGGATTTTTAGGGATCCCAGTGACAGGACCTGTTGACTGGTTGTACGATCCCTGTAGTCCTGGGTTAAATCAAGAGAGCTAGGCTTGAGAGCCTCAATTGCAATTGTAGATTATGCTAACGTAGTCATTGGCGGATCCAGGGGGGGGCAACGGGGCAATTGCCCCCCCCGAGAAATCCGCCGGTCTCCCTCCCCTGCCTGCCGTGCAATGTGCCTGCGGACCGGGGAGGAAGATCAGAGATCTCCCTCCCCGGTCCGCAGGCACCGTGCTGACAGTCGGCGGCGGAGGGAGGGAGTGAGAGGGAGGACCCGGAGCTCAGTCTGCAGCTCCTCCGGGTCCTCCTCGATCGAGATTTGGAGCGTTGCCGCGGTTACCACGGCAACGCTCCAAATCTCGCGAGAGTGAACTCTAGCCCGGGAGCGCGGGCTAGAGTTCACTCTCACCACCTGACCACCAGGGAATCACCACTGGGACCACCAGGGATCGAAATATGTCCCCCCTCCTCCCCAGTAAAGGTAAGAAGGGAGGGGGGACATAGGATATTTATTTTATTAAATAAAAAAATAAAAAATATTATTTAAAAGCCTCCTTCCCCGCCCCCATACACACACTGCCCCCCATACCACACACTGCCCCCCATTACACACACTGCCCCCCCCCATTACACACACTGCCCCCCATTACACACACTGCCCCCCCATTACACACACTGCCCCCCATTACATACACTGCCCATTACACACACTGCCCCATTACACACTGCCCCCATACACACACCCACACACACTGTCCCATACACACACTCACACACACTGCCCCACAAACACTGTCCCCATACGTACATTGCCCCCATACACACACTGCCCCACAAACACTGTCCCCATACACACACTGCCCCACAAACACTGTCCCCATACACACACTGCCCCCCATACACACACTGCCCCACACACACTGTCCCCACACACACTGTCCCCACACACACTGCACCCCCCATACACACACTGCCCCACAAACACTATCCCCATACACACACTGCCCCACAAACACTGTCCCATACACACACTGCCCCATACACACACTGTCCCCATACACACACACTGTCCCCATACACACACTGTCCCCATACACACACTGCCCCACAAACACTGTCCCCATACGCATACTGCCCCCATACACACACTGCCCCACAAACACTGTCCCCATACACACACTGCCCCACACACACACTGTCCCCATACACACACTGTCCCACAAACACTGTCCCCATACATACTGACACCCCATACACACACTGCCCACAAACACTGTCCCCATACACACACTGCCCCACACACTGTCCCCATACACACACTACATACACACACTGCCCCACAAACACTGTACACCCCATACGCACACACTGCCCCACAAACACTGTCCCCATACACACACTGCCCCACAAACACTGTCCCTGACATACACTGCCGCACTCACACACTTCACCCTTAACACACACCACTGCTCCTATACCCTATATCCCAGCAGACCCCAGGTAAGTTGTCAAACTGTTCTTAAACGGTATGACTACTTACTCTGGGGTGGAATCCTGGCACTACTGACACCATAACTACTACACTGAGCTGTAGTGGTTATTGTGCCTGGATTATTTATTTAAATAATCTACAAGTGCCCCTCCCGAGATCAGGCTCTGGATCCGCCACTGAACGTAGTGTACCTATAATCTTAATTTTAATGACAGGAGGTGAATATTTTGCATCAAGCTCGCTTTACGAAACTCCACCAGCACAGATTTAACAATAAAGTTTAGTAAAAAAAATATTGTTAGAGGGTAAAAAAGGCCCCTCCCCCTTGCACACTTCCTCTTTCTTTGATGTGAAAAAACAAGAAATACATCTTTAACCCCTTAAGGACACATGATATGTGTGACGTCATGATTCCCTTTTATTCCAGAAGTTTGGTCCTTAAGGGGTTAAACTTCAATAAATAGCAACAATGAAAATTCGAACTGTGAACGATCCAAATTCCGAATGGATGATTGTCGGAGGGCGTAGAGACTACACCATGTATTGATCCATGAAGGTGAATCAAACTGAAAAGAAACAGAAAGACGTGGAAGGGACTTTGAAATGAACTGTATGTCATATATACATTAATATATACCAACTGTATGTAACAAGTAAGCTAAACAAATAAATTAATCAGAGATCTCAATATGTGTGATATACATCAAATCACATGGTACCCAAATAAACACAACCACGATGTATGCAAATCTTTATTGAAGTAAAAAAACAATTAAACATACAAACAGAGAGGGGAAAAAGAAGGGTGGGAAAATAGTCCCCTCCTGTCATTATTAAAATTAAGATTATAGGTACACTACATACGCTTTATCTACAATTTTACAACTTGACAGGAGGTTTCATATTTTGCATTTTTAATGCTGTGCCTGAAAAGCAAAGGATGCATGTGAAGTCTGACAGAAATAGAATATGAAGTTGGCCTGACTGTGAAGACCGAAGAGATGCAGTAACCTCCACATAACAAGGTAAAGTGTTCACTACACGAAGACGAGGAGGCTGCGGAAAAAACAGATATTACATGGATGTAGGATCCGTCTTGGTCCGCCGTGATAACGTGAAGGAAAAGCCTTCTTGAGATATCAAGAAACCATTCGCGTAAAAAACGCTCGACTGTCCGAAACCCGACAGAAATGTACGAGACAAAAGTAGTGTGAGCTTTGCCGAGAATTGTCGAAGCAAAAGATCAGAATCATCCAGCCAATCCCGTATGAAGCGAAGAACTACATCTACATCCCATACAGAGTGTATTGCGGGACTAGGGGTCTGAATAGTTTGATACCTCGTAATAAGCGATATACCAAAGGGTCCTGACTAACCAGTATGCCCTGAAGTGGAGGGTGAGCTTCCCGATATAGCCGATCGTATCACATTGATGGAACGGTATGAATGACCTGACAAAAAGGTGTGATAAATGTGGCAGAAATGCCTCTGACACATGTTCCTGGAGGGGCCTGCTGGCTAGCCTCCTACCCAAAGACTATGGGTCCTGCTAAAAGCCTGTTAAGAGGCACATGAACCATGGACCACCCGGGAGCTTGTTAAGACCTATCATCACTTCTTAACGATTCAGTGTTCTAATTGTTCATCTGGGTGGCCACAGTTCATATGAACAACCACAAGGTGGCAGTCATCTTGTTCCCACGAATGCAGACAGCAGTGTTTGGTCGTCAAGTTCATGGAACTCAAATCAGACACGGAAACTCCCGAACACCTCTGGACAATCAAAGCCTGCGTTCAGATTCTACAACACCTAGAAGGGCACTGCTCAGTGAAATCGTTCATTTGGATGAGGGGAACAAGCTCCACAGTATGACTACGTATTGTAGGTAGTTCGTTTTTAAACTACTGAAATTGACCGACCATTAGCACTGATTTCAGGGAACTATTTTGGGCATAGGACCATGTGCACGGTCGGTCAAATTATGACTTCCATAGAAATCGCAAAACCCTGAACCGATCTGGGTGATTTTTGGATATGTTGTTTACCCAAATCGGGGCTATCAGGGGATGTATTTGAGGGGTTTTCATGTGTTTTGGGGTACTTTTGGGATGTCTGAAAAATTTGTGTTTTTCTATACCAGGAGATAATTGAGTTAGTACAGTTCCTGACTCAATTATATCTCAGGCACAGAGGAGGAGTTTGTAACTTGTATAAATTCTTTGACTGTGCTTCCATTAAACAGACTACTTCCTATGTGTGGGGGGAATTGCTATACTGCTCTTTGGATTATTATATTCTCTTGGGATAGAGGTCTTCCCACTGGGAGCTGGATCCAGGTGTTGGTCCAGGGTGGGAAGGGACGGCGAGACCCAAGCCAAGCTGTGGCGGCTAAGGGGGGGCTACGGTGGTTATGGTGTCTGGTGTGTTGCTTATAGTACTTGGTGATATTAGGAAATGTTGTTGGCAAAGGAGCCCAGTCGGGGTGCCAGGCAGTCTGCTACAATGAAAATGTAAAACTATAGTGACAGGTGCTGTACGACATCGTAGTTCCACTGCAAACACCCGCCACTCCAAATGTTCCATGCAGAGATGTAGCTATGTCTAGTTCCTTGAGCCCATGAGTCCCATTAGAGGTCTCTAGTCGATTGCGATAGGTCCTCAACTGACCAAGATCTCCTGAAAGACTTCAGGCCACCAGCTCCACACTGTCCTGTAGTATCAGCAGATGAGATTCTCCTTGTGAGTTCATTAGGAGGAGGGGAGACCATGGAAGGAGCAGCGGATGGTCTTGAGAGAGAGCCAGTAAGTCCGAAAACCACGCTGACTCTGCCAAGTGGCGTGATGAGTATCATGGAGATCCCTGTGATGTGAAGACGATGAAGGATTCTAGCCAACCTCTAGAAAGTGGGAAAGCAAGGTTGGAGAAATGTATCCACTGCTTCGCATTTTGGGTCCGGAAAACAGCTGTAGTACCTCGTAGTTTGTGTGTTCGTGTGTGAGGTGAAGAGATCTAATCAGTGACTCCCCATTCATAAAACTGGCTTTAAGATACCACTTTGTATTCCTTACACTATAGAATCCCTTTAAAGTAGTATTTGTCCCTTTAACCTTGTTAACCTCCCCTCTATCAATCAGACAACCAGTCCTGTTACTTCCTGGTTGCTCATCGAAGATAAACTCAAGAGACAGCAATTGCCCAGAGCACCTGCATTGCAAAGACGTACCATTGAACTGCATTGAGAAGTCTGTGATTGGACAGCCACAGAAAGCCTGGGCTGGGGGATAGGGGAGGGCTTACAAAGGCTACAGAGAAGATATCTGCAGCATTTGCAAGCTGTTTTTAGATATACCCCCAATAAAATTAATAAGAATAATTAAATGCATTGTGGGGTATATTTACTAAACAGTGATTTTTTAAAATTAGTTTATTATTATATGAACAGTGGAGCGTCCCTTAAGAATAACAGAACTCACAGTATGGGATCAGGGGTACACGGTATCAGACTAAATAACAGCAAGTTATGGCACATTACAAACAGTCAGACAGGAATGAGTAGAGAGTTTACCTAGGTATAAGTGAGCTGTGACAGACTAACATCAATCCTGTGCTCCCAGAACATATATGTGTTTTGGCGCATGTACGACCAATTGGTTTGTGAGCTCTGAATAATACAAAAGGCATGATACTTAAAGGAGCAGCGTCCGGCACAACACCAGATCGATACGTGGTGTCAGACACTGAATGACAGACAGCACATGCTTGAATTGCATTTCTCTTTGATGGTGTTTTAGCATTTGTTTCTTTATTTCTGAATTGAAACTCTGTCAATCCAATTATTTCCTATGGTCAACTCAGGTTTACTCAGGTCAACACTTCTGATGATGTCAGCCAAGCAGCCAGATCAGGGGCAGAGCCAGCAGCAGCAGACTGCAATAACAGTAAGATTTTACTATATTTAGGCGGTAAGAGGGGCCCAGAGGCCTCAGGGATACATGTTTGTGTTCCTGTCCCTGTAGTTTTCCTTTAACAATCTCAACAGTGTTTTATAAAACAACTCCTTGTGGCAAAGAATTCCACATCTGAAGTCTTCTTAATGTAAGGAAACATTTTCCTCTGTCATAAGCATAATGCCATTTCTACATAGTTACATAGCTGAAAAGAGACTTGCGTCCATCAAGTTCAGCCTTCCTCACATTTGTTTTTTGCTGTTGATCCAAAAGAAGGCAAAAAAAAAAAAACTGTTTGAAGCACTTGAAGTCTCTGTAGATGACTTTTTGTGCCTTGTGCTGTCCTGTTAATGAACATGAACATGTTACCCGAGAGCTGTTGGTGATGCCCTGCACAGTCATATAAGATATTTTACAATGTAAGAATCCTCCCAGGCTCACATAGCTAGCTGTACCCTACACCTGGCTTCATGAGAAATAGAGAACACTCTAGGACTAAAAACCTATAGCAAAAATTGTTTCTTGTCAAATTCCCGTCATCTTTCATTGTTGCACAGCTATTTGGAAACTGGAATTTATAGATCAGGAGCACCTGATATATGAAAAGTTGCCTGAATACCATGTGTTGAACTCTACATGCATGTTTGAACAAACAAAGAGAACATATTTGTTTTTATATTTATTTGAGTCTTGTTTTGGGATGTACCGATGTATTCTTCTCTCTTTGTTATGGAATCTCGCTGTCCGTCTAGAGAGAAAGAGAGACATGGTTTATTGAAGGTCTTTGGTACACCACTGATCTTCTTAAAACCCAAGTTAGTTAGTTCTCAAACCAATAATAATCAATTTTAAACATGGAACAACCAATTTAACATTTTATGGTTTACAACACATTCAACGAAACAGTAAATATTTGTTTCTTCCAATGACTGAGATTGATTTCACTTCATATCAGTGAATGAAGATGGCTTGTCATGTATGGGTGGTTACTGGTAAGTGCCAGTAAGTCTTGTGAAGTGTATAATCCCATATCAGTAGTGTATTGAGATTTAACTTCTCCATATGGAAGAAGTTGTATGTTTTATTACAGAGGACAACCCGTGACTCACCTGAAGTCTGTGATAAATCCAGTCTAGAAGCACAGTGAGATTAGTGTAGACTCCAGGCCGGTTTGGTCTCCCACAGCCTTCTCCCCAACTCACAATGCCGACTTGCCACCAAAGACCCTCTTCCTGGCAGACCAAGGGTCCTCCGCTGTCTCCCTTTAAAAAGATAAATTTATAAAGACCAGTCATTGATGTGGGAAGCTCTGCCTTTCGATCATAATCACCTAGGTTGTCTATGTTCCTCACACTACAATCTATGTTGACTTTTTTGAGACCTATGTATCTTCATGTCTATTTCGCAATTCATGATATTTATTCCTTAGTATTTCAAAGCCTAAAATTACTATGCATATCAAAGTGATATCAAATTAGTGAGCTTTGCTTCCAGCCTCTAATTACATTAGTTAAATCACTTCTATATTAATCAAGTTGTTGAATTATTTAATTCACTATAACAAGGATTATAAAAGACTGACAAGTGAATGGTAAACTTTAGGGTGAAAGTAGCCAAATTTAAAAAAATCTTCAACTCACCTGTGTTCCAAAAGTGCCTATTTTGGTGAAGAATTTGAAATCTTCTAGTCAATTCTCTACAATCTCTTGCTGAGTGTCATGCCCACCAGTGTTCTGTCCTCTGTCTATATTTTATGATGATTTTTATGATGCACATGACTGAAAGCACTTCTGTCACTAAAAAGAAACTCGATCTTATCTGCTTCTATTTAACTCCCAGTGTCTGAATCTCTTTTAAAAAAAATTCCTGAACACTCTAATTTTCATAAAATACATACAGAAAAGCAGGGACTATTTTGCCCTACGTATAGCAGATAAGTTGACAAAAGGTTCTATTTTAGTTGCCAATCGAATTTACCCACAATCCATCAGTAAAATTAAGCCCCAAGTAGGGCAAACAGCAGGCATCATAGGCAGAGGGAATCAAAATGTTTAATAATGTAAATAAAGGCAAGGGGGGTCTATAATCATTAAGACAGATGGAGGCATTTTGATGGCTTTATTGTGACTCTAAAAAATAAAGCTTATAAGAAAAAATACATAAGGAGAGGAATGGAAAAAGAAAAATGACAGACCAATTTTAATTTTAACCAACTAGAGAAAAGGTAACTCATGAAACGTAACAAACCTTTCACCCTTACTGCTTGAATATAACTCTCTCTCAGGTTGTAAACGGAATTGTACAACACAGTATATGTTACGGGCGTTTTTGTTATGTGAGTAAAAGGTTACATTTAGGGGTTGACAAAATAGCACATTGCATACAGTACTCATACATTCAAATATAACATGACACATCATTCTATTTTATTAATAGAGCTCGTCATTTGAGAAAATGTTTTTGTATGGATTTTAAATTTAAGCTTTTACAACATATCCTGCAAGATAAGCAGGTAAAATGACATACTTTATCGACGTTATTTAAGTTGGAAGTATTGTGAGTCTGATTACTGTTAATGACCAAAAAAGAAGATAACCATTTGTTTATCAGTATGTTTCACGGCAATTTTGTTTCTGTTTTTCAAACACGAGAATGTGGAATGTAGATTTCTGTCCTCTGTACAGACTTCGGTTCTAATATTTAACTGCACTGATTTGATATACTAGTGTGGCAGAAGGTAATTTTTATTGCAATCTACAGACAACGCCTAATATGCCAGTCCTAAATGTAATAATTTAATGAGTTATTCTTTTCATCAGATGTCATTAAATTAAAGGGACACTTAAGGCACCAGATCCACTACAGTCGAATGTACTAGTTCTAGGGCAAAGAGACTGTCTCTGCAGTCTCAGTAATGATAATCTCAGTAAGATGGGGATCAGCGTCTGTGGCGATAATGTGCACGGGGGGTAGAGGGGGAGAAGGTAAGTTAAAAGTCTTGTTTTATTACTTGTGGTGGGACAATAATCTAACACTATAACACTTTAACATGAGTAATATATGTTTGTTAACCTAATTAAGGACAGATATACAGAATAGTATGTTGCTTGTGACTGATTGTTTGACAATACACACAATCAGGTTTTGCACCTTTGGTCTTGATCATTCTTGCAATAAAGTTTATTGACACACCTAAACTTTCTATTTAACCCTTTTTGATGGCTGGGTGCTGAATATTTAAACGCATAGCAATGTGTGGTGAATTGACACAGAAGGTTTAGGAAGAGATTTCGAGGTTCTAATGAGGAACGGTCACTAGGCTAATTTCAGCACAACCAAACAGCTAACTTAAAGTTAGCAACTGGTTGAGCTATATTTTCTTCATTGAAAACATGCATGCATTTACTTATGCATTTTTTATTGTGGATATATCTATAAAAAGTTTGCTAAAGCTGCAATTTTCTTGTCTGCAAGTCCTTCCCTTCTAACCCCGCCCAGACTTTCTGTGGCTGACCAATCACAGAATCCCCAATGCATCTCAATAAGAAATCTTTGTAAAGCAGGTGCTCTTGGCAATTGCTGCCTCTAGAGTTTAGCTCCACTGAGCTGCATAACCAGGAATTAACAGGGCTGGTTGTCTGATTAACAGCAAGGGGGGAGTAACCATGTAAATTTATAAAAGTGTAAATTTCTATTGAAATCTTTTCATAATTTTTTTTTTAAAAAGGACACACCAGTTTTACATAATGCACTTTAGCAAGCTAAAGTGCGTTAGGTGCGTGGACTGCACCTTTAACTCTCCTAGTGCCTTATGCACAGCGAATGTAATGCACTGCCAGAGAAAATGTCTTCACTAGATGACAGAGCACAGATGTGCGTATTCAAGGCTTAATGGGAAGAGCAACCCAGAAGGAAGTTTTTACTTAACTCCAGTAGTGGATGGTGAAGTTTTGAGATGGGAGGTGGAAGGGGGAGCGGGTACCAGACTCCTCCCCCAGAATTTTATTCCACCCTTTAACTCTATAGCCATCATCTTCTGACATGTGGCATTTGTCCACTTTTTTTTATTTTGACACACAAACAGGCAATAGCTGGAGTATGTTAATTAACCTTTTTCCCTTTTTTCAGATTAAAAAGAATCTTACATTTTCTAAACTATTGCAAAATTTGTGAACGAGCCTCCACTGCTAGCCTCTTCTGAAGTATTCAAGTCAATAAACCTCTCTGGAAATGACAGTTCCTCTTTAGGACCACTTTCACTGACTGAATGGAAGTTGTTGATAATCATTTGGAATGTGGCAGATTCTGGAATGCCATTGAATTTGCACCGACATGTTATTATTATTATCATTATTATTATTATGTTATTTAACCCCTTAAGGACCAAACTTCTGGCATAAAAGGGAATCATGACATGTCACACATGTCTTGTGTCCTTAAGGGGTTAAATAGCGCCCTCAAATTCCGCAGCGCTTTACAATGGGTGGATGAACAGGCACGTAGTTGTAACCAGACAAGTTGGACACACAGGAACAGAGGGGAACAGAGGGGTTGAGGGTAAAAATTACACAAAAAGGTAAGGATAGTATTAGACTAGTGACCGTTGCAGAAGAGGAATCAGTCAGGAGCTATTAACAGTTTAATTGATACGCTTTTATGAAGAAGTGGGTTTTTAATGATTTTTTGAAGGAGTGGAGATTGGGTGATAAGCTTTCATACCATTATGAAGCCCAAGGAAAAGCTATGCTAAATGGAGTGGGCCTTGACTTAACTAGGAGGCAGGCATATGGATAGCAGTGGCAGATCCAGAGCCTGATCTCGGGAGGGGCACTTGTAGATTATTTAAAGAAATAATGCAGGGCAGGCACAATAACTACTACAGCTCAGTGTAGTAGTTATGGCGCCAGTAGTGCCAGGATCCCATCCCAGAGTAAGTAGTCAAACCGTTTAAGAACAGTTTGACAACTTACCTGGGGTCTGCTGGGATACAGGGCACAGGAGCAGTGGTATGTGTTAGGGGTGAAGTGTGTGAAAGGTGCAGTGTGTGTGTGTGAGCGGTGAAGAGTGTGTGCGAGTGCGTGAGGGTGGCAGTGTAGGTCAGGGTTGCAGTACAGTACAGTTTGGATGTCCAGCTCTACAAACCACTGAGTTGAGACATTGCTAAAAGGCCATCTTAGGCCAGAAGACCCAGACTCTCATGAGCAACGACTTATAACCTGTGGTTCGGTCGCGTGCCACAAACATGCAGGTATCCACTAACCATCTCTTTTGCATCTAATGCTTACAGAGAGACAATAGCAGGTTTGCACTTAAAGGGACACTGCAGGCACCCAGACCACTTCAGCTAATTGAAGTGGTCTGGGTGATGTGACGCTTTTGCACGTAGTGCTGCAATGTAAAACATTGCAGTTCCAGGGAACTGCAATGTTTACATTGCAGCACTAAGTCTGCCCTCTGTGGCTGTCTACCAGACAGCCACTGGGGGCACTTACGGTATCCTAACCAACTTTTGGTTGGTTATCTGATGCTGTACGTCCTCACAGACCTCCAGTGTCAGATTTTCCCCATAGGAAAGCATTAAATAATGAAATAATGCTTTCCTATGGGAAGGTCTAATGCGCGCATGGCCATTGCTGCGCATGCGCACTAGGTCTCCCTTGCTGGCTGACGTCGGTGGGGGAGGAGCGTGGGCAGAGCCTGACCCAGCATCGATTTAGGTTCAGTGAGATGGGATGGGGGGTGGGAGGGAGGGGGGCACTCCGGGATTCTCTAGTGCCAGGAAAATGGGTTTGTTTGAGTCCCTTTAATATGGTTTTAAACCAATATATATTGTAATACAATTAGCAAATACACTATAACTCATTTGGCATGCATCGCTATCGACTTATACAAAAGCCATCAATCACCGCTGATTAAACACTGACACACTAATAAAAAATACCTGATATGATAAATTACTTTTCAGCTCAATATCTGAGATGTGAAAGTTTATGGCTAAACTAACGTTGTCTAAATTAAAAGCTTTGTCCTCGACATTATGATAATTATACAACTTGAAGTCCAATTGATTTTCTTTTAATTCACTAAACAGGTGAGAGAATTGTGTTGAAGGTAAGACTTTAAAGGGACACTAATGTCACCCGGACCATTTCATCTTAATGAAGTGGTCATTTTGACCCAGCCATGTAAAATATTTAAGTTTTCTAGAAACTGCAATGTTTACATTGCAGGCTTAAACACACCCCTAGTGAATGTCTTCTGGACAGCCACTAGAGGTGCTTCCTTTGCAACAACTGAGCACAACTTGGTCAAGTAATGTTGCAGCTCATAGGAAGTTCCTCTTTGATGAGCATTGGATTGGACCAACTATGAAGGAAGCGACACCTCCTTGATGACATCACAGAAGGCAGAAATGCTAAAATGTCTTAGGAGTCTCAGTGCTGGAAAAAGGTAAGTAAAAACCTAATTTTTATGGCAAATGGGGGGGTGGGGAGGGACAATACAGCGTAAGCAATACATATTTGTATTCCTAACACTATAATGTTTTTTTAAATTTAGGTAGAAGAATAATCTCCAGTTTAGCCACTTTTGCTTTTGAGTTATTTTGGCCCAAATTGTGCAGTTGTATCTTCAATTCCCCAGAAATCCCTGTTTTGTGAATACATTACGTGTAATAATTATGCAATCAGCCCACAAACCATACCTCTGCCCACTATCCAAGGCTTATTTTGCTTTTCCGTGACAATTACATTGATGAACTCAGGACCATGCTTCTTCCTTCTACCTGCCCACCAGGGCCTCATTCATTCATTGACCGACTACCATCAAGTGTGTGAATGTGTTTAAATGTGTGAGTGTGTTGGTGTTAAAGTGGGTATGTGTATGTAAATATTGTGCTTTATGGTGGGAAAAGTAGCAATATCAGAGTCTAATGGTGGTCGACAACAGGTGTGTGTGTTTGTGTGTCTACTGGAAGGTGCATTTGATTTTGTCAAAAAAAGTGTGCATTTAAAAAAAAACTACAAACAAAAAACAGTCACGTTACAATTTATATATAAATATTTTTTTCTATATACCATCCAAGATACATGCTTGAAAACACTTTGTTGGAAAGAGATATTTGGCAAGCTGCTTTGACTGCTGCAGGTAATGCCACCTGTTATAGAACATTATATGCATTATGCAGCCAACAGATAGAATGTCATATTGTTCTTTTGAGATAAAATGGTTCTAGAATGAAAGTGAGTCTTTGAGGAAGTGAAAATGGACCTGCATGATCAATAAGTAGGTTCTCACTGCTTGTATACTGTACCTGGCAGGAGTCTACTTTGCCATCCAGGTACCCAGCACACAGCATGCGAGGGCTGATCATGCCAGGGTAGTGGGAGGACTGGTTACATATAGCACTGCTGATTAGATGGACCTTGGCTTCTCTAAGGACGGGTGACAGCTGTCCTGGGGAGAAAGAGGGAGAGGATGAACAGAATTAGAAAGGAACAGACAGCTGGAAGCACTAAAGGAGACACAGATGAAGAAGCAGACAAACAAAACAATGGGGAAATAGAGAATGAACACAACTGTAAAGTGTAAAGTAACCAAACTTATTGTAGCTATAATTTATTATTGGGTTTTCCCAGAAAATCATGACAATTCTTTAGAGGAATTCAGTTTTATGTGATTGCCACTGAAACAGTTAAGAAAGAATGGCATCCTACAGTTTACATTGAGTACTTTTTGCTGTTACACAAATTGTAATGTGGTCATTATAAAGATTCTACTCTCAACTATTCCAGTGATGAAGTGCTCAAATAATTATGCAGAGAGGGAACAGTAGTTAGAAGATTTTGCAAAAAAATTGGAAATCAAGTCTTATGTCTAGTAAGAATAGTCAAAAACCAGTAGTTCCACCAATGCAATGCCTCCATTGACTCCTCACCACCCTCGCTCACGTGGCCCCAGCCGCTGATCCAGCAGTTTCCCATGGACTGGAACTGTTGGCGGGTTCTAGGGAGACAAACGGGACGAAGGGTCTCTGATGGAGGAAAAGGATGAGAAACAAAAAAGCTTAGCACAGGTTGCCTGTCTTAGCATCAACTGCAGTAATGATGTTTACTAGTCAATAGTATATAGGATGCTACTTGTAACTAATAAGCTGCTAATTTAATACAGCATCACTCTCTAATAATCCAGTCTTCATGACTGAGACGACGATCCATAATTCCTAGTTAATGAAGGATTAAAATACCTTTAGATTTACATTATTGCTTTATAAAGTTTAAGTGTCAGATTCAGAGTTCTAGAGTTTACATTTTGTCTGTTTTTCCTTGAACCACAGAAACTGAGGTCCTTCTCCCTTAGACAAAGAAAAACATGTATTGTGGAGAATGAATACACAATTGGCGAAAGAGCAAATTTTGGGCTCCAATAGACATACTGTACATATTTTTTCAACTCCATTATTAATCTTGCTTGATTTTTTTTCTAAATTGTTCAATTTCTTTGTCTATTGTCGTAAAATCTCCTCGTAGTCAGAAAACCACAATTTCCTGTGAATTGTATAACATGAGTCCATAATGTCCACATTCTACAGTCCCATTGAATGTGTTTCCTAATAGGTAAAATTGGAGCTCTTATCTCAGTAGAAAAGAAAAGGATAGTTTCTCTTACTTCTTCAGGTCCATAGACAATTTCATTGAAGCACTGTTATCTATCACCGATTTCCAAAAGGTTACCAGAGATCATTTTGAATAGTCACATTACTGGGGGATTACCTACGAGATTTCAACTGCCACATAGTACCTACTGTATTCTAAACTTAGAAGTACGTTTGATACGTACTCCCTGGTCACTCAGCTTTTTTTTTTCTTGTCAATCTCTTTTTCATTTTTATCGCAGCAATGTTGGCCGTGTTACACAAAGAAAGTAAGATTAAAGTATACATATGTTTGTAGAAACAGGATGTACAGTAAATGGTAAAGAGGTATGTATCACAAAAGTTGCGAGCTGACATTAGTACATTATCAGGAGTGTGTGAATTGCTTAGGGAGAATGGCCGTGTGATACAACGGGGCTTAATTGCAACCCGAACGGGTCGTGGAGTTATGGCCTTCTACTAAATGTGCCCTTAGCCCAGTGGGCCTTGGGGGTAGCATAGGCTTCCAATGGAGTGGCAGTGCACTCCTTCTCAGAGGCTTATGCCCCAATATTCTAGGTGCCGGAGCGTACAGTCGCTGGCAAGGAGACTCTCTATTGTAAAGAAACAAGTAAACTGGGTATGGCTCAAAGCAAACAAGTAAAGTAAATCACATATTTAGCTAAGCAGTTTATGTTCTGGTTGCTGCTGCGCAATCTGATCTCGGTGAGTTCAGGTATCAGGTGCGGGACGTTGGTTGGTATCCTGCTTGGGAGCGGGAAGGCCCAGGGCCTTACAGAATGTCGGTGACTCAGCCAGTGTGGAGATTTTATGTACAGTTCCCTTATGTGTGACCACCAGGAATCTGGGGGATCTCCAGTGGTGTTCTATTCCCGCTTCTCTGAGGATGCTGGTGACTGGGTTCAGCGATCTGCGCCAATGTAGCATGGATCTGGTGAGGTCTTGCTAGATGGAGAGTTGTGCTCCTTCGAATGTTAGTGGTGTCTTGCCCTGGAGTTACGTCATCAGGATTCTCTTGTCTTGGGAAGTGGCACAGTGTACAATCACATCTCAGACCATATTTGGGGCTGCTCTGCTCGAAGATGGTAGGTGGTATATCCCATCTATGTTACATTTTTTGGCATGCGTTGGTGGCAGTAAGGATGCCACAAGTCGCCTCATATAGTGAGGCAGCTCTTCGGGTGTGACGGTGTAGGGCACACCCCTAAGCTTAAGGTGGTTACGTCTTGTCCTGCCATCAAGGACTATGTAGTGGAGAGAGAGTGCTTGTTGCTGGGCTTGTATAGCCAATACAGAGTCATGCCTGAGATGTCATTTTCCGTGGACTGCACCCTGTCAGTGACGGCTTGCATGTCCACTTTAATGGCCGCCACGCTGGTTGCCAGGATGTTTTTGATTTCCACAACTAGATTGTGAAAGACCCGTTGGGTAACTGGGGAAGACCCGTTGGGATTCCCAGTGGTTGTATGCGCCTGTTCAGGAGGTAAGTCAGGTGGTACGGGGTCTGCTGGTACCTTGGTGACTTTGTGGTCCGCCGCTCCCGCCATTTTGTGAGGCGGTTGTTGTAACAGCATTTCCCTGCACCCCAACGGTGACTCTGGTGGTGGCTTTTGGGACCTGCGGCCCATCGATGCTGGGGCAGGTATGTGAGCTGCGTTGAAATCTTCCACCTCTGGGTCCTCCGGGGGGTTCAAACCCACTCAGTAGGCCTTAGGTCTGCGTTTCCGCCGATTCACCTGCGCCGGGTACACAAATGGCATGGGGGGCAGCTTGGTTGTGCTCAGCTAGTGAGTTATTTGAGGGTTTGAAGCCTTAAATATTAGACTTTTAAGCAGGTTTTGGTTGGGAGCTATGCAGGGTTGTGTCCGCCCCAGCTCGCAGTCATACTCCGCCCCCTGTCACTCAGCTTTTAATTTTAATATTTGCACAAAGAGACCCCTAGTTTTCCTAATACAAGATGGGCAAAGTCTTCACGGTTCTATGGCTCACCTGAGAATCCCATTGGTTGGCTGGTTTTTAGCAGTGCCACATCATAGTCATTTGTCTCTGAGTTGTATTGACCATTATAATAAATGCTACGGATGGAATAGGAGATTGCTGGGTTTAGAGACACAGACCCTACATGGACCTTCCATCTATTAACAGTGAGGAAGCTGGATCTAGGATAGAGAAAGAACCATACTCATTACTGATATCCAATGCAGACTGTGAGAGCAACGCAAGGGAACAACAAAGCTACTCACAGCACAAAGCAATGAGCAGCACTCATCACCCATTGGGAAGAGATGATAGACCCACCACAAACATGGCGGCCATCCCAACGCAGGCTGACCTGCCAAGGCCAACGTCCCGAGGCTGATGGTGAGCCCCCTACAATGCGATTACTGTCAGCAGTACTACGTCCACAGTCTATGGAAGAAAGCAGAAAAAAAACATGGTGCTAGACAGTCAACCCAGCAATTATCTAAGCCCCGTTTTTTGCCAAAAATAGGTGAATCATATCACCTTGTGATAATTAACAAAAAAGAAACCCTGACGAAGAGGGACCAAAAAACGAATTCGAAACACTGCGTCACTGAATATCATATAAATAAGTGCAGGGTCTCAGAATTTTTAATAATATAATATAAATAAACACAGGTTATAAAATTGGGAAATTGCCTATATTCTGTAGTCCCATATGTTCTCTTTAGGGTGCAGAAGCTCAAATATAATGACAATCCCCATGCATACACAAAGAATCAAAATATTAGAAATCAATGCATGAAACGAATTAACCTACTATAATTAGGATTTCCTCTCATTGCCGAGTAATGGTTTTCATAGTTAAATAAATACTATATTTCATACAAAAAATACTATATCATCCTCAGCTATCCAGTGAAGATAGACTTGTTGATGTGTTGCGTTTTCAGAGGTTGTCCCATGCTGCAATAAAAGCTGATGGTGGTAGGTATATGAATATAGCTTTCTATCACCTGTACAAAACACCTGTTCCTCATCTTACCTGTACACTGCAGCGAGACACCTTCCTGAGTGGGGCATGTCACCCTGAGTAAACATAAAAATACTACGATAAACATGTATTTGGACTATGTACCTAAATTATACAAAAACGTAAAGAGTGAATGAATGGTTTCAGAGTGAAGGATACATAGACCAGGGGTTCCCCATTATTCCTCAAGACTGCACCGTATTCCCAAGTGTCCCTTTTTAGGAGGGACAGTCCATATTTTTGGACCATTTCCAACTGCCCCTCTTTTCTAGGAGTTCCATATTGTTGGTGCGTCTGAGTGTATAACAGAGCTCCACAGTAACAATACTCACAGTCTTAATTCTTTAAATGACAATAAATGTGTTTAGAAATCAGTCTTCGTAAATAAAGATACATTGTTCTTGTCCTAAACTACATTTTAGCTGCATAAATTGTTATTAATAAGTTACCTAGAACTTCTCAGAACAGCCCCGACCCTGGTCAGAACCCCACTCTCATCCCTAAAAACAATCCACAATACCAAGCGAGGTCTTTATCGTTACTTGTCTTATGCCTGCCTCTATTTTTACTCATGTGACTTCTATATAGACAAACACAACTAGCCTGTGTATTAATATACTTAAAAACTGTGCCACTTTCTCATGCCATGTATATGCTCTACATTGTTATCACTGTTTGCTTATGCTGTCGTGGCATCGTGAACCTCTGAATTATCTTGTGAATTTTGAATTAAAAAAAAAACAATCCACAATATAGGTATTTTCCACTATAGCTCCTATGAGATAACGACAATAACTGGACAGCTAAATTCAGAATTTGCTTATAGAAGGGCCTAACCACCTCCAATTGCAAAACATTGGTGTTCGATGGACCCCCACTTTTCATCGTTAAAACTTCTCAACCCAATACAAGTAGAGGGGGGAAGGGAGCACATTATTTATCTTCTCTGCTAGTACAGTGTCCAGAGACAACTTTATTTAGTAATAACTCCTTGCTGTTTTATATAGGGGCAAACATAAAGAGGGAGCTGTAGTTAATAAACCGTCTTTTTGTCCTCCGTTAAGTGACTAATCTTTTTTAACCCTGCTGTTCTAAATACTTTCCAAGTATTAAAATAAAATAGTTATTGTGTAATATATGGCTGGTGTCTTGGGATAGAACATCCACAATCCTGGTTTCTGAACAGAAAAGTGAATTAAGATTAAACCTGCTGTTAGTGATAAGGAAAACAGAACCTAGATTGGGAAGATGTCTAATCTGACATCAAATTCTACATTTCAAAGAATTATGCTGGTTTTGAACACGAATCCAGACTTTCTTGCATATGCAATTTATAACTTTACTTTTTTCATTTTCAGTCTCATATTTCTCGGAGTTGTAAAAGGGAGTTGTAAATCTTAATGTTTTGGAAACAGCGCCCCCCTGTGGCAGTGATGTGTTTTTCTGTTTTTGAGATGGGGTTACTTACACTGGGCTCAGAAAATTGTCCAGGTTACTGGTCAATGCAGTGCTTTTATTGACCACAGCAAAGCCTTCCAGGAAGGTGGAGTCTGTGGGAATGAGCGGCGCTGGTGAAGACAAACAGTGACTGTAGGGAGAGATTGTGTTAATGAATTACTTGAATGGAGTCAGTCTCAGTGAGGCAGCAACACTGATAAATACAGATAACATTCAGATAAGGATCAATAAAACCTGACAATTCAAAATTATAGGAAAGTGTCACGTTTACATAGTAAGCCGCAGATGGCCGTATATAAAGTTGTCACACTATAGGCAGCAGGCAATCTCTGAACATGGAGGCAGGGCAGAGAACGGAGAGCAAAATGAAAGGAGCAGTGAGTGAAGGCAGAGTAGAGGGGTTAAGATAAAAGTGGCATGGAGTGCAGAGGGCTAGAGGAAAGAAGCAGGAAGTCAGGGCAGAGTGCAGGGAGTTAAAGGAAAGAAGCAGGAAGTCAGGGCAGAGTGCAGAGAGTTAAAGGAAAGAAGCAGGAAGTCAGTGCAGAGTGCAGGGGGTTAGAGAAAAGAAGCAGGAAGTCAGGGAAGAGTGCAGGGGGTTAGAGAAAAGAAGCATGGAGTCGAGGCAGACTAAAGGATGTAAGTTTAGGAGAGGCAGGCACTTGGGAAGAGTGCAGGGGCTAAATGTGAAAAGACTGAGTCATGGCAGCGTGTAGGGGAAAGAGACAGGGAGTAAACACAGAGAGCAGGGGGTAAGAAAGGGTAGAGGCAGGGAATGAGCACAATGTGCGGGGTCGGTCTATCTATCTATCTATTTATCTCTCTCTCTCTCTATCTATCCTCCCATCCATCTAAAAATGTATAAAAGGCAAGAAGGAATTTGGAATCACACTGTAAAAGGTACAGAGAAGAGGGCGCCCACAGAGCACACATTACCTGTTGAACCCCAGCTCTCGACATACTGTCCACCCATGGGTCGTCATCCATCCTTGGTGACAGACAGTGTAATATTTCCCTGCGTCCACATTGTATACCTGCAGCAAGGAGCGCTCTGTAAGCAGTAACACTGGGTTCCTGTATTCTGGGGATCCGGCAGGAAGATAAAGCGTTCAGTGACTAAATTCTAGAGACAAGTTAATCAGTGTGAGACTAGGAAAACTGGGAGACAGGAGTCACTGAGAGATCAGGAAAGACAGAGGGATTAGGGTTTAATCACTAAACAGTGAGTCGCAATGACCTGCAAATCAATTCGTTTGTTGATTCTCCACAATTCAATATTTATTGGATAATCCCTATAGTCTCCAATTAAAAACATTAAATTAAAGGGCTACTCTAACCCTTCTGAAAGGGAAGGGAAGAAAAAAATGTAAATTTTTTTCTATTCATTTTGCAACTCAGGTTATGCTAAAGTCTTGACAAATGTTTCATAAAAAATGGGTCAATATGAGTGTTTCCGAGTGTTTCCTAGTGCTTCTTTATGGAATAATTACTAATTTTACACTTATTTGTGATGTATAAACTATTAAAACAATGATTTCATTCGTATCTTATAAAATTCCCAAAATGTCTTCCTCCCTTGTACTCACCACCACTGGCAACGGTCCGATTGTTTGGGAGTCTGGTTGGAGGACAGAGATTGGCACCTTCTGCAAAGGAGCAGTTCAACGAAAGAGCACAAATCTCCAGAAAATCAGGACAGGCTTGATGAACCTCAGGGTGGTAGAAATACTGCACTGAGGACAATATCATTGTAGAGCACAGTTTATGAGAACATAATAGGCTAATGCATAGCAAAACATGACATCTACAAATAAGACAGGATGGGGTGAGGGGTGTATATAGAATAAGACAGGATGGGGTGCGGGTGTGTATAGAATTAGACAGGATGGGATGCGGGGTGTAACATAGAAGCATAGAAACATACAGAAACATAGAATGTGACGGCAGATAAGAACCATTCGGCCCATCTAGTCTGCCCAATTTTATAAATACTTTCATTAGACCCTGGCCTTATCTTACGGTTAGGATAGCCTTATGTCTATCCCACGCATGCTTAAACTCCTTTTTCTTCTTTTAAATATAGTCTCCTCCTTTACTGTGTTGATTCCCTTTATGTATTTAAATGTTTCTATCATATCCCCCCTGTCTCGTCTTTCCTCCAAGCTATACATGTTAAGATCCTTTAACCTTTCCTGGTAAGTTTTATCCCGCAATCCATGAACCAGTTTAGTAGCCCTTCTCTGAACCCTCTCTAAGGTATCAATATCCTTCTGAAGATACGGTCTCCAGTACTGTGTACAATACTCCAAGTGAGGTCTCACCAGTGTTCTGTACAATGGCATGAGCACTTCCCTCTTTCTACTGCTAATACCTCTCCCTATACAACCAAGCATTCTGCTAGCATTTCCTGCTGCTCTATTACATTGTCTGCCTACCTTTAAGTCATCAGAAATAATCACCCCTAAATCCCTTTCCTCATATGTTGAGGTTAGGACACTATCAAATATTCTGTACTCTGCCCTTGGGTTTTTACGTCCAAGATGCATTATCTTGCACTTATCCACATTAAATGTCAGTTGCCACAATTCTGACCATTTTTCTAGTTTACCTAAATCATTTGCCATTTGGCTTATACCTCCTGGAACATCAACCCTGTTACATATCTTAGTATCATCAGCAAAAACTTGCAGATAACTGCATTAACGCTCATGAGTCATCTTATGGAATTTGATACCTATGGGTGCCTTTTGAATTCCACGTTAAATGCCAAATTTTATTCCCATTTTATTAAGTTATTGTCACAGTTCTCAGCGTGACCAGATGTCCAGACACGGTCGCCCCAGAAGTGCCCTACAGGGGATTTGAGTGTATATAGACTAAGACAGGATGGGGTGCGGGGTGTATATAGAATAAGACAGGATGGGGTGCTGGGTGTATATAGAATAAGACCGGATGGGGTGCAGGGTGTATATAGAATAAGACAGGATGGGGTGCAGGGTGTATATAGAATAAGACAGGATAGGGTGCACGGTGTATATAGAACAAGACAGGATGGAGTGCACGGTGTATATAGAATAAGACAGGATGGGGTGCGGGGTGTATATAGAATAAGACAGGACAGGATGGGGTGCGGGGTGTATATAGAATAAGACTGGATGGGGTGCAGGGTGTATATAGAATAAGACAGGATGGGGTGCGGGGTGTATATAGAATCACACCGGATGGTGTGCGGGGTGTATATAGAATAAGACCGGATGGGGTGCAGGTTGTATATAGAATAAGACAGGATGGGGTGCAGGGTGTATATAGAATAAGACAGGATAGGGTGCACGGTGTATATAGAACAAGACAGGATGGGGTGCACGGTGCATATAGAATAAGACAGGATGGGGTGCATGGTGTATATAGAATAAGACAGGATGGGGTGCACGGTGTATATAGAATAAGACAGGATGGGGTGCACGGTGTATATAGAATAAGACAGGATGGGGTGCGGGGTGTATATAGAATAAGACAGGATGGGGTGCAGGGTGTATATAGAATAAGACAGGATGGGGTGCGGAGTGTATATAGAATAAGACAGGATAGAGTGCGGAGTGTATATAGAATAATACAGGATGGGGTGCACAGTGTATAGAGAATAAGACAGGATGGGGTGAAGGACTCACAGAGGAGACAGATTGACAGGGAAGTTGCTGCGATCGATAGTATCACTGAAATGTGGATTAGTATCCTGGAGAGGTGTTGCAGGGAGCACAATGATGTGGGCTCTTTGGGAGTGCAGGGCACGTCTGATCCGGGAATATCTGTATAGGAAGATAATAAGCCTGTTTCAGTAGACCGAATGTGAATTATCTGACTATTGAATGTTCATCCCATCTCTGCTCCCCTCTCTCACCCTGTGTGGATGTCTCACTCTGGTGTAGCTGATCGGGTAGAGTTGGTATAATTATGGCAGCTTCATCCACTGCTGGTGGGGTGCAGCCATCCACTGGGATCCTGAACCCAAAACCATGGTCCGATAAAGCATTGGAAGTCACATCCTGAATAAATAGGAAGGAAGAACACAGAAACAATACATGTGTATATGGAATATAGTTATGGAGAAACAGTACAGGTGTGTACATATTACACATATAGAAAAGCAGTACAGGTATGTACATATTACACGTACAGAGAAACAGTACAGGTGTGTACATATTACACGTACAGAGAAACAGTACAGGTATGTACATATTACATGTATAGAGAAACAGTACAGGTGTGTACATATTACAGGTATAGAGAAACAGTACAGGTGTGTACATATTACACGTACAGAGAAACAGTACAGGTGTGTACATATTACACATATAGAGCAACAGTACAGGTATGTACATATTACAGGTATAGAGAAACAGTACAGGTATGTACATATTACACGTATAGAGAAACAGTACAGGTGTGTACATATTACACGTATAGAGAAACAGTACAGGTATGTACATATTATACGTATAGAGAAACAGTACAGGTATGTACATATTACACGTATAGAGAAACAGTACAGTTATGTACATATTACATGTATAGAGAAACAGTACAGATATATACATATTACAGGTATAGAGAAGCAGTAAAGGTGTGTTGAAAGTACAGGTATAGAAGCCGTACAGGTATGTAGAGAATACAGGCAGGCATGCCCAGGGAGCACAGGTATGCAAAAATAATACAGGTGTGTATAAGGAATAAAGGTACACAGAGACAGTACATGTGTGAGAATGAATATGTATGCAATGGTGAAAAAAACTACTGTTTTTAAATAATGAATTTTGGGATTTTAATAAGTTTAGCATGAATGCATTTAACCTTACACCTTAAATTTTTATACATATGTGTAGATAGACAGATAGATAGACAGATAGCTAGACAGTCAGACAGACATATAGACAGACAGACAGGTGGATAGATAGACAGACAGACAGGTAGATAGATATACAGACAGATAGTTAGTTAGTTAGTTAGTTAGTTAGTTAGTTAGATAGATAGGTAGATAGATAGATAGATAGATAGATAGATACATAGTTAGTTAGTTAGTTAGATAGGTAGATAGATAGATAGATAGATTTTATTATACACACATCGAAATCTTACCTCTTCTTCGTTGATTCCTGAAAAAATATCAGATAGAGAGATTCTTTTCTGTGTCTGCAATAAATATAAAGAAATAACAATTTAGCTTTGTGTTTCTAGATACCTGTACACCATACATGGTATGAATATCCTCAGGCGGAAAAACTCCCAGAACTGGGGCTGAAATTCCGATCATTCTCCTACATCCTCGGATGAACGTGATGAAAGATGCTGTAGTTGATTAAAGATGTACTTGGCAAACTGACTGTCAGTTTCAATAGAATAAAATCTGACACTGTAATTGTGTATATTATACCAGCTATTGTCAGTGGCTGGCACGATAGGGGTTGCTATCGGCAGCAGAGGTTGACTGTTATTTTAGGACATATTACTGACTTGATACTGTATAAATTAATAATTGATGAGTAAGTTATCTCAAAAGGCATCTCACATTAACCCAATAGGTACATCTGTGGGGCCCTTTGTTAAAGTTATAATGCTGGATAGAGAGTGATGGGAACTGTAATACAATACTGATCTAAAAATTAATGCATATTAAGAACCTATTTCCTCATATCTCATCTGCACTTAGTCTCACTCTCTTGCTCTTCCTCTCACTAAAATTTTCAATCTATGCCTTTTCTCTGGCACATTTCCTTCACCCTTCAAACATGCAACCATAACCCCGATTCTGAAAAAACCTAGCCTTGACCACAACTCCCCATCCAACAACCGCCTTATATTGCTACTGCCATTTGCCGCTAAGATCCTTGAGAGAGTTGTGTATGCGAGATTGACAGACTTCCTTGAATCCAACTCTCTGCTTGACCCACTTCAGTCTGGATTCTGCGCTAGTCACTCTGTCGAAAGGGTTGTGACCAAAGTATCCAATAATTTAATCGCTGCTAAATCTTGTGGCCATTACTCTATCCTAATTCTCCTTGATCTTTCTGCTGCCCTTTACACTGTTGATCATTAACAGTTTCTTCTCATACTCCGTAATCTTGGTCTACGGGATACTGCTCTCTCCTGGTGCTCCTCCAACCGATGCTCGCCTTCAAGACTTCTCCAGGGCTGCACTTTTTCTGTGGAACTCCCTTCCCTTCTCTGTTAGACTTTCACCCAGTCTCCACTCCTTCAAAGACTCTTTGAAAACTCACTTCTTCAGGAAAGCGTATCAACTAAACTGTTAGCAGGTTTTCAACCCCCCCCCCCATGACTCTTCTCCTGCAACTGTCAAAAATGACCTACTAAGCCCTCAATTAATACTTTTCTAGCAACCTACTTCCGTCACCCCTACTTATACTTTTTGTGTCACTATACCCCACTCCCTCTAGCATATAAGATCATTGAGCAGGGCCCTCAACTCCTCTGTTCCTGTGCGTCTACTTGTCTGGTTACAATTACGTGTCTGTTAGTCCATCCATTGTACAGTGCTACAGAATTTGCTGGCGCTATATAAATAATAGAATAATAATAACAATATATCCACTTGCCGCTAGCCATTGGCGAGTAGAAATTTACCCTTGGTGAGTATGCTATGGCTTGCAGTGGCTAGTAACCTTTAAGGCTTGGCTAGTAATATAAGACTTCAAATTTGACGCCCAGTAATTAACTTTTTTTATATACACCAAATGCCCCCTTCTCCCCCCAAATTAGATCTATTATCTAATTTAATGCAATTAATTAGTAATTAGTGCTGTTTTGCTGCATATGTGCAAACATATTTCAGCAGGGAATATTTTTCTCATTTAAACAGATTTGCACATAGCCAATTATGTTCCCCTAATCATCGTACTCGAAATACTTCTATCTTCTCTCCTCACAATACAGAGTTCCCCTTGTTCCTGTACCTTGGTCATGGCGAGGAGTCCATTCCACTTTGTCTGATAGCTATTTCTTTCCAGCCCTGGGATGGATGTAGATAAGTTTGGCAGAAGACCCTTTTAGTCCTCTGGGCCAAACACATCCATAAGGTGACCATTATGTGCCAACTCCATGGCTTATCTTCTTCCTGATACCTGGGATCCCACCTTGGTCACGAATAAGACCGATATCTGTAACAGTTCATAAAATTCCAATGACAGCACGCACAAAACACTGACACCCTCCTCTGTGTCATGAGCACATCCTGGGGAGAGGAATCATTAGAAAGATCAGGTATCCTGCAGAGAGTGTAGAGTTACAGACAGAGTTGGTGATGTACAGCTGTCGATGAGCTACAACAATACCCCAGCAGAGCCGGGGCTTATAGGCAAAGAAAGGGGAGTCAGTGGAGATAGTAACTAGGAATAGCAGGCATTAATGTATTAGGTGGTGGTGGTGGGATGGGTAAAGAATCTTCACCCCCTCTGAAAATCTGGTGTAGCTTTTAAGATCCTATGTTTCACTTCTTCAGAAAACATTGCATGTTTAAAGAGATGAATATTTCACTCTACTGAAATTATATACTCCCATAACATGTAATTTTTCCTGTAGAAAATTGTATGTTGCCTGGAGCTGGGATGCCCCCCAATGAAAGCATGCATGTATTTACGTATACTTGCCTGAATTCCCATTTGCAAGGAAAGTTAATTAGTAATTTCAGCCAATGAACTAGTCATGTACTGCAGAGCTTAGCCAGTGCATATGGAAGTTCCTGGCAGGAGCTTACATTAGCTCAGCAGTAGCCTGAGTAGCTGCCCCTTTGATGTTATGAATTTGTATGGTTAAACAAGATTGTAACTATCTGAGTTAGCCAAAACTCCACTGAGAGCCAGGCAGGATAGAAGCCGGAGTGTAACTAGAAACCACGGGGCCCTGATCCGAAAACTGCCCTAGGGAACCCCCATACGCCCACCCCCCCATCGCCTCCATACGTGTGTGTCCCCCACACACACACATGCAGACACACACATATAGTGACACACACACATACATACATATAGACACACATACACATAAACACACAGACACACATACATACAGATACACACATACAGACACACAGACACACACACATACAAACACACACATACACACAGATAGAGACAAACATACATACAGACACACATGCACATACACAGAAACATACATACAGACACACATACACTAACACACAAACATGCTAAATATTTTAGTCACCCTTCTGCTTCCTACCTTTTAGGTTCAGGAGTGAGACTTTCCCTGCGGTCCAGTGGGTCAGGCTGATGGGAGTCAAAGTTCCTACTCTGACTCCCTCCTCTCCTTCCTCCTCCTACGTGGCATGGTGATTGCTCGGAGGAAGTGACCAGGGCAGTCACTTCCTCCCAGCCTCTGACCTCATTACAGGGAGCCCGGTCGCGCTTTTAAAGTGCCGCAATGCTGACCGGGCCCCCTGGAAATAACTTAGCATCGGATGGCCCTAACAGCATGGACCACCCGATGGGCCACTGAACGAGCAGCCCCAGCGGTTCTACTGCGCGGGAATACATCTTGTATTCAATAAAAAACAACGTATTTGCATTACAAAGAAAAGCCTGTTCAAATGAATATATTTGTCATATTTCAAACTTAAAATTTCAAATGTAACTTTGCAACCTTTATGATATGCACTTCTCGAGTGTAAAAAAATGAAGCATACCCCTCCTATTCTGTAAAGTCAAATGATCACACAGTTTGCTGCTACACACATATTTACAGACATACATTATCTGCCAACTCCAGGATACCTTGCAGTTTAATAACAATGGCCTATGTACTCTGACACTGCTCCTCAAATGACATTCATTTATTTATAAGGTTTGGCTGTGCACTGTCTTGTCTTGCTTTGTTCTTGTTTCCTGTTTTCTTCCATGCAGAGGGATGCATACAACTATTAACTCGAGGATGAATACAATTGCACAATAATCATTCAATATTTACTGATTAAAAGGTGTCTATTCACTACCTAAACAGGGAGTTTGATAATCTGGTAATTGTGGTAACTTTGCAAAATGTAAAATAAAATAGCAAGCTTGAAAACAATCTCCAGCCTAGTTATTTTAGCCTATTTTAGAAAACGTGTTGTCGGCTCACTGTAAATGTCCCAAACTCATGTGTTGCCTCAAATGATGCATTTTTTTTTTTTTTAAATCTTTATTTTTCGTCCGTGAAAATGGCAAACATATGTGTAAGACCACAATAGTCTTTACACATCAAAACAGTGAATATCATGTAAATAAATGTCTAGGATCGTTTCACAAACATTTTATAGATACAATTGGTCTCAATGTTATAACGAGTGATGTAAGTCGGGTAATCGTGATGATAGAGGGTACCTATCTGTCAATATCGCCCCTTGTATTGTAGGGTCGTGAGCTGCGGGAACAGGGTGGGAGTGACTAAATCTGGGTATTGTGTCTAACGTCTCGCCCTTTGTCCCGAGGATGTGGGTTTATGAGTCGTAGGGTGTCCCTTCAGTCTAGTGGTGGCTGCGTGTAGTCGCTAAAACAGTTCATAGCTATGGCTAGTGTGTCCAGACGATTATAGGTCGCTGTAATATGGCAGGATCAGGTCGGACCCGTGTGGTTCCAGGCTATGGTTATCAACCTAGTGGATGTGCCTGATGCCAGTCCGGTTTATTATATCGCCCTCGATATCGGTTCCCTATAACCCCAGGGAGAGGGGGGGGGGGAGGTGTCGTCGGAGCATAAATGGTTGGATCTAGTGAGCCTCGGTCGTGCTGCAATAATTGTCAGAACGAGAAAAAACAGAGAACTATATATAGTTTAAGAGTCAGGGTTAGCTACACAGAACATTTGAACTGAATGTGCGAACTGAAGCCTAGTCGGCTGTCGGCTTAAGTATGTCCCTCAGGTCTTGGGTTTGGCATCTCTGCCTCTTCCAGGAGTCATGGCTGTTTCAGCTTCGGAAGTTCCAGGCTGAGGGTCTAGTGGTGTCCCCAAGTTTTCTGTGGGGTTCGGTAGTCCCAGGGCAGTCATCAGTGCTGGGCCTTCTGTGGGTTCGGTGGCCTTGAAGTGCTTGTCGCCTTTAGTGATCCAGAGAGTTCCTGGGGTCGCCCACCTATAGGTTATCCCAGCCGTTTGGAGTTGCTTGGTGATTGGGTGCATGCTCTTGCGCCATTGTAGTGTGGCTCTGCTCAGGTCCTGAAAGAAGGAGATTTTGCATGTTTCGAAGTCGAGTGGGGTCAGCCCTTGTATTGCTGCCATTAGCCCCAATTTGTCCGCCATTGAGCGGCATCTTAAGATTACATCTCGTGGAGCTGAGGTGGGTGCTTGTGGGGATTTAGCTATATGATAGATCCCGTCGAATTGGAATGCTTTTGCCTGTTTGGCTGGTAAAAGTGTGGCCACAAGGCGTCTAGCGAAATGCGGTAATTCGTCCAGTGGCATTGATTCCGACACCCCTCGAATTTTAATATTTTTGCGGCGCCCTCTGTCATCCAAGAGATTAACTTGCCTAGCCATTGTCAGTTGTGAGGCGTGCAAGTTGCGCACTTTCTCCCTTAGAGCTAGGTAATTCTCCCTCAGTCCCTTGACCTCTTCTTCGATTGCTTGCGTGCGCGTTGACACCGTGTGTACGCCTAGCTTGAGTATGGCTAGATCTGCTTCCCACATTTGTCTGAGATTCTGCTGTAGGCCTGTTAGCATTGCCTGTATGTCATTTTTGGAGGCCGGTGCGCTAGTGTCCGATGTCCCTGTGGGTGTCGGGTGTTGGGGACTGGGGTGTGGATTGTCCTGTGTGTCTCCTTCCTCTGAAGGTTGTGGGGATGTGTCTCGAGGAGTTTGGGCCTTCATGGCGTTTGAGGCCTGTAGCATTTGGCCTATATCGCGCTGGGGCTTTGCGGTATTTTGGGGCGTTTTTTGCGTCTTGCGGCCCATCTCACCTGCGCTCAGTGTGTCGGGGTACCAGTCCTCAAAGTCTGGGACGTTCCAGGGCCAGTGCGTTCCCGAAAGGGCCTGAGGTTGCCCTCCCGGTCTGTAGGCCTTGCTGCCGCGGCGTTTATTTTTGGAGCCGGGTGTCAGGAGGAACGGCATCAGCGTGTCTGTGTGTCTCCGAGGTCAGTACTCGGTTGGGAGTCTGTATGTGATGCGGGTTTTCCCCGATTTCTGCAGATTTCAGTGGATTGTACCGGAGCTCCGGCAATGTGCGACCGCTCCGGTCTGTGTCAGGCTCCGCCCCCCAAATGATGCATTTTTAACGCCCTAATCATTACTGAATTACTACAAGAACAGCGACGTTAACATTTTTTTAAAAATCCCTGTTTCTACATTGGCGTTTTAAATGGAAATGTAAAGCGGTAAAAGGCATATATAGATGTCTTCCATAACCCTTCGAAACGTACTTGCCATTAGCTGCAGAACTGTCTTCTGCAGCTAATGATGATCCACTGTTTTTTTTACCCAGCACAAATGTATTAGTTAGTGCTGGGTGTTAGTCAACATCTATGGAAGATATCTATTAGAGATACAGGGGGAGCCCCCATTTATTTGACCATAGGAACTACCGATATTTCACCGGCCAAGACCACTTTCTCTCTGGAACAATTTTGGGCTTCGCCCACGTCTGCGGCTGGTCAAAACTTTATCTCGCTGGTGATTGTACAATTATTTATAGATTTGGGCGCTATTTGGACAACTTGGGCGTTCAGACAAGATCTATTCGGGAATGAAATGTGGGGTCAAACATGACACTCAACAAACCCCTAGTCATTTCAGGTAATTTAAGTGTTTCAGCTCAAGCACACCTGGGGCAATTAATGAAGCCCTTGATTAGTTGTATCATGTGTCCTTGAGACAACACAAGTTTTGTATATTTGTGGGGGATTTTAATCAGGGGTTGAATAATTTTGAGACTGGAGAAGTCATTAAAAGTTGCAATTTCAGCTGAATTTGGGGAAACCACTTGAAGCATTCATTGTGTTGAGCTATTTCAGTTGCTTTTGTTTGATTTGTTCATTGCAAACAGCTAAAGCCTCTACATTTTGACAATAAACCGGATATAAAGAGGTCCATTAAACATGATCTGTCACTTCCAGAGATATGTTAGTTCCTAATTTCTTCACCCCATTAAATGTTATTGCAGTGTTTATTGAGGTGAATGATACAGTGAAGGTACCTACAAAACTGTCTTACCTCTGCTGCACTTGTCTTGGGCATCTAACAAAGAAGTATACTTAGCTTTTTCTCCAGCAATGCTGTATGTGTGCCTGTGCTGTGTGTACATACCGTACTTTGCCAAGCCCACGTATCAATCAATAGAAATTATACAGAATGGATACATGGTTGGTCTGGGGGCCTGTGGATACATGTTGGGTCTGGGGGGCTTCTGGATACATGTTGGTACTGGGGGTTTCTGGATACATGTTGGTACTGGGGCTCTCTGGATACAAGTTGGGTCTGGCGGGCCTCTGGATACATGTTGGTACTGGGGCTCTCTGGATACAAGTTGGGTCTGGGGGGCCTCTGTATACATGTTAGTACTGGGGTCTCTGGATTCCTCTTGGGTCTGGGGGGCCTCTGGATACATGTTGGTACTGGGGGTCTCTGGATACATGTTGGGTCTGGGGGGGTTCTGGATACATGTTGGCGCTGTGGATACGTGTTGAAGCTGGCACCTCTGGTTACATGTTGGGGCTGGGGGGGTTCTAGATACATGTTAGGACTGTGAATATATGTTGGGGCTTGGGGCTCTGGATACATTTTGGAGATGGGAATACATGTTAGGGCTCTGGATACATGTTGGTACTGGGGGCTCTCTGGATACAAGTTGGGTCTGAGGTTTTCTGGATACATGTTGGGTCTGGGGGCCTGTGGATACATGTTGAGTCTGGGGGGCTTCTGGATACATGCTTGTACTGAGGGTTTCTGGATACATGTTGGTACTGGGAGTCTCTTCATACATATTGTTACTGGGGTCTCTGGATACAAGTTGGGTCTAGGGGGTTCTGGATTCATATTGGTACTGGTGGTATCTGGATACATGTTGATACTGGGGCTCTCTGGATACATGTTGGGTATGGGGGGGCCTCTGGATACATGTTGGTACTGGGGGTCTCTGGATACATGTTGGTACTGGGGCTCTCTGGATACAAGTTGGGTCTGGGGGGCCCCTGGTTACATGTCGGTACTGGGGGTCTCTGGATACATGTTGGTACTGGGGCTCTCTGGATACAAGTTGGGTCTGTGGGGCCTCTGGATACATGTTGGGTCTGGGGGGCCTGTGGATACATGTTGAGTCTGGGGGGCTTCTGGATACATGCTGGTACTGAGGGTTTCTGGATACATGTTGGTACTGGGGGTCTCTTCATACATGTTGGCACTGGGGGTCTCTGGATACATGTTGGGCTCTCCGGATACAAGTTGGGTCTGGGGGGGCCCTGGATACATGTTGGGGCTCGGGTGCTCAGAATAATTTTGGGCATGGGGATACATGTTGGGGCTGGGGGGCTTCTGGATACATGCTGGTACTGGGGTTTCTGGATACATGTTGGTACTGGGGCTCTCTGGATACAAGTTCGGTCTGGGGGGCCTCTGGATACATGTTGGTACTGGAGGTCTCTGGATACATGTTGGGTCTGTGGGGGGGGCTGGATACATGTTGGTACTGGGGGTCTCTGGATACATTTTGGGTCTGGGGGGCCTCTGGATACATGTTGGTACTGGGGGTCTCTGGATTACATTTTGGGGCTGGGGGCCTCTGGATACATGTTGGTGCTGGGGTCTCTGGATACATTTTGGGTCTGGGGGCCTCTGGATACCTGTTGGTACTGGGGTCTCTGGATACATTTTGGGGATGGGGGGACCTCTGGATACATGTTGGTACTGGGGGTCTCTGGATACATGTTGGTACTGGGGGTCTCTGGATACATTTTGGGTCTGGGGGGCCTCTGGATACATGTTGGTACTGGGGGTCTCTGGATACATTTTGGGGCTGGGGGACCTCTGGATACATGTTGGTACTGGGGGTCTCTGGATACATGTTGGGTATGGGGGGCCTCTGGATACATGTTGGTACTGGGGGTCTCTGGATACATGTTGGTACTGGGGGTCTCTGGATACATTTTGGGTCTGGGGGGCCTCTGGATACATGTTGGTACTGGGGGTCTCTGGATACATTTTGGGGCTGGGGGACCTCTGGATACATGTTGGTACTGGGGGTCTCTGGATACATGTTGGGTATGGGGGGGCCTCTGGATACATGTTGGTACTGGGGGTCTCTGGATACATTGTGGGGCTGGGGGGGGCTCTGGATACATGTTGGTACTGGGGGTCTCTGGATACATTGTGGGGCTGGGGGGGGCTCTGGATACATGTTGTGTCTGGGGGGCTCTGAATACATGTTAGAGTTGTGGATACATGTTGAGGCGGGGGTCTCTAGATAGATTGTCTTTTTGCTGGAGGGCTATGGATACATGCCCCCCCCCCCTTTGCAGTGCAGTCAGTCAGTGGGCCAGCTCCCCCCTTACAGTGCAGTCAGAAAGCAAGGCCCCCATTGCAGTTGGAGGTATTTTGACTCGGCTGGGACTCCGTAGCAGTCAGTGTACGGCAGTTCCGGCAGCCCCCCCTCCTCTCCTGTTCTTCCCTCCTCCTCCCCCTGCACAAAGCATCCTGTGTGTCCAGCCCGATTCCCCCACACCCCCCAAACCCGGGGCACCCCAGGAACCCTGCACCCCCTCCCCCATCACACGGTGAGTACCAGGGGGGGAGGGCCAGGCCTGGGGGCAGCACACACACCCTCCCCCTCTCTGTATTAATAATTACCCCATTAACCCTTCCCCTGCCGGGGGAGGGGGTCACCTGTGTGTGTGTGTGTGGAAGCTGCAGGGTTAAAGATGCTCCATTCCCAGCATTGCCCAGTGATTAGCAGGATTCCATTATCATTGGCATTAGTGGGGGCTGTGCCTGGCTACATTGTATCCATTTATTAACAGCCTTTATATGTCTGGGTCGGGATTCCATCCTCATCAGCTTTATTATTAATATTACTGCAGTTATTAATATGGCTATAATTATACAGTTTGCATCCAGTGCAGGATTTCTTTATCATTATTGCAAACAATAGACTTTATCAGATGTAGGATTTCATTGTGATTGCTGGAATTATTCTTTATAGAATGGAGACTTTCATCATTTTAATTATTACTTCTTTTAACATAATATGATATTTATCAAATGCATTACTGGTAGTGCTAAACTGTATAAATCAAGTCTTTCTTAAAGTCAGTATTTTATTCTCCATCTTATAGTGTATGTTTCTAGGTCTGTAAAAGATGATTGTTATTCCTGTGTATCTATCTCTGTTTTACCAAAGTCTGGATCTCATCACTGTTATTGTTATAGTAGCATCAACACTGTGTATAATATCTGTTTCCTGAGATGTCAGAGTGATTATGTTGCAGCTGTACTGTTTTATTTCCATGTATAAATCTATCTCTAGCTTGAATGCAGTTTAATACGATTGTTTGATACTTTATTTTATTAATATTTAGATGGAAATTCCAGTATGAATTACCATTCCCTATTCTGTAGGTTTCCAAATAATAGCAAAAAATGGGCCTGTCGCGGCCAACTTCAGGGATCTGAAAACTCCCCTATGGCATAGAGTTGATTAATAAATAAAGAAGTGTTATTTTTTTTAACAAAGCTGGAATTTAAGCAGTGTTTTGGTAGCAATTAGTTTGTTGCAAAATTGGAAGTGCTTCAAACTGGGGTTTTTGTTTTTTTGTTTTTGTTTTTTTGCCTTCTTTTGGACCAACAGCAAAATACAAATGTGAGGAAGGCTGAACTTGATGTCTGAACACGTCTCTTTTCGGCCTATGTAACAATTATAGTAACTATTTTCCTAGTTATATTTCACTGAGGTGAAATGAATTAATGATAAAAATAATGTTAAAAAATGATGTCATGTCGATGAACGAATCCTTAATGTTCTCTTTTTAGAATAATGTATGTAATTGGAAGCTTGTTTTAGTTTATCACATTCTGTATTCTAGATCTTTGATGGAATACTGTAGAACTTCTAGAGAATTCTGTATGAGGTTGTTTATTTTATAAACTCTGTGGACCATTCTTTTGACCTATTGAGATATTAGCATGTACACTGTGTCCAGGATACAGTCAAAGTCCATTTAATCCCATCTTCCCCTTAACACCCCATAATTAGTGGCTCGATGGTAATCTGTGTGATAGTAGAAGAAATGTTACTGAAAATAAAAGATTACATGTAATCTTGTTGGGTATTATTTTGTGATGAATACATATGTTAACACTTCTTTTGTGAATTTTGTGGCTTGCGCTAAGCTATGTGGAGACCGTTATCTTTCTCTTTAGTTAGAAGCATAACTTATCACTAAGACCAATGCGGAATTTGAAAGTTTGAAACTGTAAGTGCTTTTCTGAGATGCCCAGTGTGTGCACATTATGCCAGGGTTTGTAAACGAGCACTAGCTCTGATTATTACCACAATTTCTGGTCAGATAAAAAGTGGATTTAGATGGCACCCACCACAGAGTAATGATAAGCCAGGAGGTGCACTGATATTACGCATTACTTATATGTATTAATTTTAAAAAAGCACACAGAGGCTATAATACATATTTTAATTCATCATCTAAGTACTACTCATTACAGGAACACTCCAAGCACCATAACCACTACAGCTTGTAATGGTGATGGTGCCAGGAGTGCACTACTCCCCCCTCCCCCATTACAAGTAGTCAAAGTGTTTTAAATGCGTTTCACTTCTTACCGCTACCCACCTACATTACTGGTGATAAAGTCAAACCGTTCAAGATTTCAGTGAAGGGGTGTTCTAGTTAGGGATCGACTGATATAATTTTTCCAGAGCCGATACTGATTATTGGTTGCCTTTTAGTGCAATTGCAGATGACCAGTGACAGTTTTCTGGAGGGTGGTGGAATAGTTGGTTTGTGTTTTTTGAGTTAGGAGCCAGTGTAGTGGCTGGGAGAACACACTCTTATTCTGGCGCCTCCTATCCTCCAAGTCTGCCTTGAAAAGTCTCTCTCTCACCACCCTGCCTTGAGCTGTGTTTCTCATGATAGTGCTCACAGCAGGGAGGGGGTGAGGTTAAGCGACATGGCTGGTCGCGGAAAACACAGACACTGCATTCACTACACACACTGCATCCACTACACAAACACAGACACTGCATCCAATACACACACTGTATACAATACACAGACACTGCATTCACTACACACACTGCATGCAATACACAAACACTGCAGTCACTATACACACTGCATAAATTAATGGTTGTGGGCATGTTTTTGTGAGTGTGATTTGGGGGAGGTGGAAGGGGGTGCAGCATTTTATCCTCTGGCACGCCATGAATACAAGTTAAATTACAGTCACTACTCGATTGTTAATATAGTATATTTTATAGAGATTATAATAAAGACCATAGTTTAACCGATTCTCTGGTACTCCCCACTTCCTATCATGCAACTGTTCTCTAGTGTTCATCCTTCTGTTACTTCGTCTTTAGTGACCGTTTAACGTTACTTATTCTCCCGTTAACACCATCCTGACTTTATCTCCAGTAACAAAGATGGCTGCAGCAGCATTAAAATCGCATTTTTCTGCCATTTTCTATGGCTCATAAGCAGCTGTTATTAAGGGTCCACACAACAGAGTTACAATCTCTGACCCTTTTCTTTGTTCTGGTCTTGGGAAATGGAGCATTTTAATATCACCAAGGCTTTTTGTATTATTTTTTTTTTTGTAAAATGAAATGTTAGGCGTATCTTTTCTGTAGAGAAAAAAAAGTGTTTGTTTTTGCTGTACACCTTTCTGAATTCTTTAACCTGTTTCTCAGTGATGTGGCTTTTGTTTACATACAGAGTTTGCTAGCTGTGGTCAGATACGAGCAAGTACCAATATTTGAACTCTCTACGCAGCGTACTACAGAAACTGAACCAAACTAAACCAAATTTCTGTATGTCTCTAAATGTGCAATTGGTACTCCCAGCTGTAGTGGAAACTCCCTTTCTTTTAGAGAACACAGCAGTAATGTTATGGGAAAGCCAACCCATGCTAAATATCACTGGATAATTCGAACTAATACAGTTTTTCATTTGTATATATGATTAGTTAAAAAAACCTATTATTCAGATTACCATTCTATTCTTTTAAATGATCTTGTAATAGTTCTGTAAGTTTTATTATATAGCAAATTACAGTGAGACATTACCTTGAACTCAAAGAGAATTTTACATTTAAGGCCAAAGTAGCCAAACTGATAGCCGTCTGAGAGATTTGTTTATTTCCTAGTTTAGCTATTTTGGCTTTAAATGTGACATTCACTTTGAATTCTTTATTTTTATTTTCATATATTTTTTTTGTTTTTTTTGTAAATGCGTTTAAAATGGAGGGGGAATAAAAAGAAAACAACACTGTTATTTGATTAACTTTTTATTAAGCTTTTTGACTACTACATGAATAAAATCATACTTCGAAATAAACGTAATGTGTGTGTGTGTGTGTGTATATATATATATATATATATATATATATATGAATTATAGTCTCCAAATATCAAATTGTTCTGTATTGAAAGCAGAATCGCAAACATTAAAGGGATACTGTAGGCACCCAGACCACTTCAGCTAATTGAAGTGGTCTGGGTGCAGTGTCCCTTTTGCACTAAGTCTGCCCTATGTGGCTGTCTACCAGACAGCCACAGGGGGCACTTCTGGAATCGTAACAGACTTTTGGTCTGTTATCTGATGCTGGACCTCCAGTGTCAGATGTTCCCTATAGGAAAGCATTGATTCAATGCTTTCCTATGGGGAGGTCTAACGCGCGGGGCATTTGCCATGCATGTGCATTAGACCCCGCTTTTCGCGGGACGGAGGAGGGGGGCGGAGCTTCGACCCAGCGCCAAAGGACATTGACACTGGGATAAGGTAAGTAAATAAAGGGTTCTTAACCCTTTATTTACCGAGTAGGACAGGGCACAAGGCAGGGGGGGCAGAGGGATGAGTAGTGCCAGGAATACAGCATTGTATTTCTGCTACTACAGTATCCCTTTAATATAAAATGGCTTAATTCGAAACATTATCTTAATTCATCTATAATTACAGCTTAAAGGACCACTATAGGCCCCCAGACCACTTCAGCTCAATGAAGTGGTCTGGGTGCCAGGTCCCTCTAGTTTTAACCCTGCAACTGAAAACATAGCAGTTTCAGAGAAACTGCTATGTTTCACTGAGGGTTAATCCAACGTCTAGTGGCTGTCTCCCTGACAGCCGCTAGAGGCGCTTATGCGATTCTCACTGTGAAAATCACAGTGAGAAGTTGCTGACATCCATAGGAAAGCATTCATTGAGTAATGCTTTCCTGTGGGCGGTTTGAATCCGTGCACATGCCTATTCAGATCTGATGTCGGCGGGGGGTGGAGAGTTCCCCAGCACAGAAGGAACCCGGCGCTGGAGAAAGGTAAGTGGCTGAAGGGGTTTTAACACATCCAGCCAGTGGGGGGGGGGGCTAAGGGTCACGGGGACCTAATGACCCTATAGTGCCAGGAAAACAAGTTTGTTTTCCTGGCACTATAGTGCTCCTTTAACTGTTTCTAGTTACATACACTGAAAAGAGACTTGCGTCCATCAAGTTCAGTTTTCCTCATGTGTTTTTTGATGTTGATCCGAAAGATGGCAAAAAAAAAAAAAAACAGTTTGAAGCACTTTCAATTTTGCAACAAACTAGGAAAAAAATCCTTCTTAACCCCAGAATGGCAGTCAGATGTATCCTTGGATCAAGAAGCTATTACCCTACATTTTGCAATTCTGTGTTTGGTAATTGAACCCTTTTGAATTGAACCCTTTTGCCTGTTTAATGAATAGTTAAAATTTTAACCCTTTGACAAATTCTATCATATCATGGCATGCATATTTGCAGTAAGCAATTAAGCATCAATTCTGTCTGTATGTTTATACGTCTTTTTGCAATAATTTAGCAGATTTTAAGGTACATCCAAAATAGATCTCACATTTGTTGCCCAGTAACTCATTATGCAATGGCGGTATTCGGCCTCTGCTCCTTTTATTTCTGTACCAGTCATTAAAAGAAGAGGTTCCAAGGTTGAAAAAAAAAAGTTTATTTTTAAGCTTGGACATTTCTTGTGCTGTAGATGCCCCATTTCAAAATTTAAAAACATTTAACTTGCCTGTAATCCAGTGCGGGGGCTCTTATCAGTGGCTGCTCTGCTTCTCCCGAGATCATCACGACAGCCTTTCATAGAGATGAATTTGAGAGCTGTGCTGGGTATTTATTAATCTTCACTCTGCCCATCTGATGCGTGTCATAGAGAAGCAATGAATCTGGTACTTCTCTGTGAGAAGCATATGGTGCGTTCGGCATCATCATATTGTACAATGTCTTAATGAGAAGTGCCACCTAGTGACTGTTTGTGTGACTGCCACTACGCTAAAGGCATATTCTCTGGTAAATGTAATCATCGCTGTTTCTCAGAACCAGCACTGTTTTACATTACCAATGAAAGGGGACATAGTCTATCTACCAAAACCACCACATTAAGATTGAATGGTTTTAGTTCATAGAACATCACTTTAAAGTAAATTACCACTAGGCAATTTATTATAAGGATATAAAGTCCTCTTTATTCATATCTTCCACTTGTTTTGGATTTAATTTTTTAATTCCATCACTTTTAAAAGTTACATAGTAAACAAAAAGTATGAATTATTGTGATAAATGAACACTTTAAACACCATAACCACTTCACTGTGCTGTAGTGTCTATGGTGCCAGGAGTAACACTACAATGGATTGTCTATTTACCTGGGGTAGGCCATGCACCACTCCCTGCCTCTCGGTGGGATGGGCACCACGCCACTTCTTGCACCAAAACCACTACAGTGGAAATGCTTGGAGTATAATCTGTTTCTTGGTTAGTGGATGGCTCATCAGCATTTTGTTGGTAAGCCCTCCTTTTTACGTCAACCTTGAGTCTCCTATCGTTGTCTATGGAGATTTAGTGTACATGAGCAAGAAGAAACATCTTGCCGTATACTTCTCACAAGTTCTTCTACAGAGGTCCACTCTGTATGAGGGAATACAAAAATTATACAGTTTTTTTGCATTCAATATGTTATAGAAAGATAATGGCAGCTCCGATATTTGCCGACTGGTGTTGATGTAAGAGTGAGTAAAAAAAAAAAAAAAAGAATTAAAGGATCACTATACAAACATATTCCTGACCCAATAGTGTTAAAACCACCATCTAGCCCCCCTGGGTCCCTCATACCTCCCTAAAAACAGCAAAATGTTACTCTATTCAAGCCTGTAACTCGGCATGCTGTTTGCCTCAGAAAAACAAGTAGACATGTGCTGACATCATCCAATCGCAGTGCTTCCCAAAAGGATTGGCAGAGACTGACAAAGAGGCAGAGCCAGCACAATTCAAACACAACCCTGGCCAATCAGCATCTCCTCATAGAGATTTATTGAATCAATGAATCTCTATGAGGAAAGTTCAGTGTCTGCATGCAGAGGGAGGAGATACTGAATGTTTGGATGCATTTTAGGCAGCCATGACCCAGGAAGGATCTCTAACAGCCATCTGAGGAATGGCCAGTGAAGTTATCACTAGGCTGTAATGTAAGCACTGCATTTTCTCTGAAAAGACAGTGTTTACAGCAAGAAGCCTGAAGGTAATGATTCTACTCACCAGAACAAATTCAATAAGCTGTAGTTGTTCTGGTGACTATAGTGTCCCTTTAAAGTTTCTTTGCAGGGTTTGAATTGGCTGCGGTGAGGTTTCTCGAGTTTGTGCATACTGCTGATTTATAAAGGTAGAAAATCTGTAGCAAGTTTTAGAGAGAAAGTGAAATACATTCTGGGAAATAAAATGTTCTAAGCACAAGAGTCAGGAGATGTGGGTACAAATTCATTATTAAAAACAACGGCTGAGTCGTGTAAAATAAAATTTTAATACAACACTAGTGCAGTCTTCTATATTCTGTTGATTAATGTAAAGTTCTCCAGTGTGACAGGACCTCTTTATCACTCTTTTCGACTTTGCCAAGGGAAAGACGATTTCTAGCATCACGGAACGCCAACATAATTGCATTTACGAGAGTGTGCAGCTCAAATAAAATAAATACATGCCGGCACTGTATAGAGAATGCGATTCGATATGTACTATGTTCTATGAAAATTGTTAGTATATATACTAACAATTCCATCAATTTATAGTGGAGGTGGTGACGGGTGTCCAGAAGACCCCAATTGACACTTACAATGAAGTTGGCACAAGGGCTCTCCTGACATCATAACTACTACAAGTCGAGTTCAAAACAAAGTTTCATGTAAAACATTTTTAACTGAGAAGTTGAATGTTTGTTTTTCATGTAGCAAATTCAGTAGAGAAGCTATCCTGTCCCCTGCCCTGTCCCCCCGAATACATTTGCTTGGAATCAGAGTGATTTTGTAGACTGCATTTCTGAGTCTGGCCATTTAGCCTTGGAGGAGGACGTTATATTCAGTTTCTACGTGTGTATATGGCTTACATATGACATTCAGATTTATATACCTGGCAAAGAGAAAAGGCTGTGTATGTAGCCACTGTCTCTATTTAAAAGCATTATCAGCCCATTGACAAATAAATCTCAATTTTCCTGTTCATATAGGGATAGGGGTAGAGGTGACTGGGAACTGCTAATATGTGGCAGTACTGGTTTAGATATGCCTGGTGATTACAATAAAAGGGTAGTAGTTCTGCCAATTTGAGGAGGGTGAAAGCGCCTTGAGAGCCAAGTATGTTCCCAGATTTATAAAAAAGAACCTCGCCACAATATAACAGTGTAAATGGTGAAAAAATATACTTATCTAAATGATAAAAAGACACCTTCTCTAAGATCACTTCCCAGGTAGTAATCTTATATCAACCGGAATACAAACAAGACAAATGGGATACGGCTGTTGAATCTAAAAAGAACATAACAAAACATAGTGTAATACAATCTAGTGTGAATATGTGCGCTAAAATTAGATGCACTCACAGGAAGAGGTGTAAAATGCCCTCAAAGGGTGCCTCCCTTGATGGTGATGGGAGGTTATGGATCGCCTTCTTTGGTCTGTGTGTACTGCTGTGAATCAGGACTCCAGAAAGTAGATTGAAGAAATAGTAGCTTTTATTTCAAATTAAAAAAAGTAAAATGACACTTGGATGCTGTAACGGAGCTCCCTGTACGTCGGCTCGGTACCTCTGCCAAGGACCACTTCCTAGCTGGAACAGGGAACAAACCGCAGCACTTTTGCCCACAGTTGTCGTGGCTTGACTGGGGTCCTGGAACCTCTCCCTCCTGGAGCCGAATGGGGAATTCGCTCTAGACACCCCCAGGAACTGGACGATACTCGGTCCTGGGAGCTCTAGTCCTTACAAGGACTTTCCCCGCTGAATCCTCCACGCTGGAACAAGCTGGAACAGTGATTAGCCCTTTCCCCTCCCAGTAACCAGACGACACATAGTTCTGGGAGTACAAGCTGGAATATGTTTATTGGCAGCCACAACTGGCCTTATATGCAGGTCCCCATGCAAAGGGCACGCCCCCCCCCCCCCAGGACCTGAGAGTAGACTACAGTAAAAACATACACACGATTACATTGGCTCTCAGATCCAGGACACTCCCGTACAAAACAAGACAACCCCTTCCCTGTACCTGGGAGATAATTGAGTCAAGCACTGTATTAAACTCAATTATCTCCTGGCACAAAAAACACACATTTTCCAAATATCCCAAAAGTACCTTAAAAATACATAAAACCCCACAAAAGTTACATCCCCTTAAAACCCCCGATCTGGGTGACCAACATATACAAAAATCACCCAGATTGGTTCAGGAATTTCCTGGAAGTCATAATTTGACCGACCGCACACATGGTCACATGCCCAAAACAGTTCCAGAGAATCGGAGCTTGCGGTCAGTCTAGTTCGGTAGTTTAAAAACCGAACAAACTACCGAACAGAGTCAATGTTTTTACCCTGGAGCTTGTTCACCTTGTTCGTGGGAACATTTCCACCAAACAGTGTCTTTGTAAGTGTTGTAGAACTGAACACAGGCGATCATGGAATTCCAGCAGTGTCCGGGAGTTTCAGTGTCCGAAAATAGTTCCATGAACTCGACGACCAAACACCGCTGCCTGTGTTCATGCGAACAAGATGGCCGCCACCTCATGGTCGTCCCTAGGAATTGCGGCCACCCAGACGAACACTTGGAACACTGCAGTGGAAATTGCTGCAAAGTATCAATTAGGCTTAACAAGCTCCGGGGTGGTCTCCGGTTCGTGCGGCTGTTCGGTTCCCAAACTATATGGTCCAAATACACAAATGGAGACTTTTACATCACATTTTACAGATTCCATAGTCTGTGGGCTGGAGGCTGGCAAGCAGTCTCCTCCAGGAACTCGTGGCAAACTCACTTGGACAGAGGAGTTTGTCACAGATGATAAAAGCAATAATGGGTCATACGAGTTTCGTCCCAAGCATGGAACTTCCTCAGGGTCCTTAGATGTTAATTTTTTTTGGTAAACTCTCAAACAAAGCAGCCTCGAAGTTAAAACAAATTGTAAACTCTCAAACAAAGCAGCCTTGGCGTTAAAACAAATGGTATACTCTCAAACAAAGCAGCCTTTTCTGTTCATATATGGATAGGTGTAGAGGTGACCGGGAACTGCTAATATGTGGCAGTACTGGTCTAGATATGACTGGTGATTACAATAAAAGGGTAGTAGCTCTGCCAATTTAAGGATAGTGAAAGTGCCTTGAGAGACAAGTATTTTTCCAGATTTGCCAACATCATTTTTATAATTTTTTTTTTTCCCCCATATGCTCTACGTGTTCCAGATTATTATTTTGGGACTCTTGAATCGCACATTCTACTCAGAAAGAAGAGTAAAATGCACCTTGTCCCATTTCCAACCATCTTTTCTTTAATTACCCTAATCCAACCATCGCGTGGTAGGCATGCCATTTCCACAGTGATACTTTACTCTCCTGAGCCACTAATGTTCCCAAACAAGTCAGGACAGATAAGACAGATACAAAATGTATGTGTCTGTAACATTGAGGAGTTAATTTAAGCCTCATTTATGATGATTTATGAAAAACGTTTTGTTTTGTTTTTCCATTTTCTTGGGATGTATGTTAAAAATGTCACAATTGACATCACAACCCAGCAAGGGCACACATTGAATCGGAGGTGGAGAAACAGAAGTATTGGGAGATATTAATCAAAGTATTCATAAAAGTGTCCTTTATTTTTATTTTTGTATTTATGTTCTAAAAAGTGTTGACTTTTCTCTGCCTAAATTCTGACACTTTTTCCGCAGACAAGTCCATTTTTAAAAAGAATGCAGAATTCACATTGGCGAAACAAAAGATTAGGGAAGCAGAACACTTTTCTGTCAGGAAGTGATGGAAAGATTGATAAAGTTTCCAAAAAACTGGCATAAATTCAGAAATTATGATTAGGGCACAAATAAAGTGGGTGGCAGCTACCCTCCCCCCCCTGCAACATGAAATCTGCTGGCACATTAAAGCGCGTGGCAGATTCTTGAATGCGAGGGGAGGTCTTGTGGACATGACCCAAAAATGTGGGACTGTCCTTGCAAAATCAGGACTGTTGGCACTACTGTTAGTAGCAAATAACCCCAGGATTTATTTACTACACAAAGAATTGTGGTGATTTAAAAACTGAATTAAAAAAAATGTAGTCTAAATTAGCCAAGCTGTGTCTACAAAGTTAGACAATTTTCTTATGTTGTCTGTTTTGCTAAAGATTTTGCAATCTGTTTTTTATTTCATTGTACTCGATTATATTGTGAGGCAATAGAAATTGACTATTGTCCCTAAGGATAATTGTATCCCATTTTTATTAGACTATATCAAAACACACTTTGCAAAGTTAGTCGCTACAGTGTGACTGGGAATTCAAAGAGAATTATTTACTAAACATCGAATTGTAAAGAAGTAAAAATCCATTTGCTGAAATGATACCATTTGGCTTACATTTCAGTACAATTTATTGTTTAGAGAATTAAAGGACCACTCTAGTGCCAGGAAAACATACTCATTTTCCTGGCACTATAGTGCCCTGAGGGTGCCCCCACCCTCAGGGTCCCCCTCCCCCCCGGCTCTGGGGAGAGGAAAGGGGTTAAAACTTACCTTTTTCCAGCGCTGGGCGGAGAGCTCTCCTCCTTCTCTCCTCCTCTGTTCCGCCACGTCGGCTGAATGCGCACGCGCGGCAAGAGCTGCGCGCGCATTCAGCCGGTCGCATAGGAAAGCATTTACAATGCTTTCCTATGGACGCTTGCGTGCTCTCACTGTGAAAATCACAGTGAGAAGCACGCAAGCGCCTCTAGTGGCTGTCAATGAGACAGCCACTAGAGGATTAGGGGGAAGGCTTAACCCATTCATAAACATAGCAGTTTCTCTGAAACTGCTATGTTTATAAAAAAATGGGTTAACCCTAGAAGGACCTGGCACCCAGACCACTTCATTAAGCTGAAGTGGTCTGGGTGCCTAGAGTGGTCCTTTAATTACAGACCAATGTGTCTGAACGGAAAATATACCCGATTTGGAGGTGCAATAAAGATAAAAAGACGTTCTGGAGACACAACGCAGAGAATCTCACATGCTTAAAGGATTATACTGATATTTTATTACTGTTATTCTTTTCAGTGCATTCTGGGTAGGCCTTGCAACATTCCTGCAGATTGAGATAGCAGTATTGAGATAATCTGTGAATTGAAATCACATTGCTAAATTTAAACTAAAATAGCTAAACTGTGAGAAGTGTTAAAGGAACACTAAAGGGTCAGGAACACACACACATGTATTCCTGATCGTATAGTGCTAAACTCACCATTTAGGTGGCTTGCCCCCATCTTATCCCCCTTAAAAGGAATTCAAACTCACCTTATTTCCAGCGCCACGTGGGTCCGCTGGCACTGGCCCCGCCCCCTTTGTGACATCTCAGAATTGCTGATTTTTTATTTTTTTTTGCCAATCCAATGCATTCCCATGAGGAAAGCATTGGATTGGCTTAAATTGGCAGCGGGGGGGGGGGGAGGACAAAAGCCATTTTGGCCAATCAGCATCTGCTCATAGAGATGCATTGAATCAGTGCATCTCTAGGAGGAAAATTCAGCGTCTCCATGCAGAGGGTGGGGACGCTGAGCGGCAGCACTGCCTACTGTGCAGCACTGAGCCAGGAAGCACCTCCGGTGGTCATCTAAAGAATGGCTACTTGGAGGTGTCCCTAGGGGCAATGTAAACACTGCTTTTTCACGAAAAATACAGTGTTTGCATGAAAATGCTTGAATGCAATGATTATACTCACCAGAACATCTACATTAAGCTGCAGTTTTTCTGGTGACTATAGTGTCCCTTTAAGCTTGAATATTATCTATATTGGCCTTATTTTGCTGCTCAGTTTTATGCTCATTAAAGTTCATTGATTATCATTAGTTAATAAACCCTTAGTCGTTGTCATGGAGGTTGGCATTAAGATTTAAAAAAAGAACAAAAGTGCGATGTGCCTTTAAGTGCTAATGTAACAATATGAACAATTTGTAAACAAATAGTGATCCAACAGTAGTGAATAAAGTGCAAATATAATATATATATTATTAAAGTGCAAATAAATTAAATCCAGTAGTAAATATCCTTAAGATTTAAGTATATTTTAAAAATCACTCAAATTTCTATATTAGCAACTGATGTGAAGTGTTACAGAAATGCATTAATTCTTGATTTTAGTTGTTTTTAAATATTGGTAATTTTCTATAATACCCCAGTGGCAAAACAGGATGGTTTATTCACTAAATATTAAATTGTGGTGAATTTCTGTCCTAATGTGTTTTATACCCCACCTCCTATAGACTGTAAGCTCGTTTGAGCAGGGTGCTCCTCAACCTATCGTTCCTGTAAGTATATTTGTAATTTTCCTATTTATAGTTAAATCCCCCCTCTCGTAATATTGTTAAGCGCTACGGAATCTGTTGGCGTTATATAAATGGAGATAATAATACTTGAAAATAAATTTCTAATCCTACGCTAAAAAAATAGTCCAAAAGTACTCTGATTCAGCTGTTTATCCACTTCTAATCTTGTGCCCTACGTTTTTGTTTTATATTCTAATTTGCTTATTGAATAAATCCCAGAGTATTTGATCTATTTCTATGGTGTGATGCTATGAGGAATCTCTGGGCAAGATTTGCAAAATTCATTGTAAAATACATTTTGTAGTCGATATATTCATTTTACAAAAATATGATATTTGAAAGAAAAAGGTTTTAGTCCAGCTATTTTGGTAGCAAATTTGCAGTTTCTGTGTGCTATTTACAAAGATGACACACTCAGAAGGCAGGAGTTGTTCGGCACAAGGCCCTCCATTTTTATTTTAGGATGCTAGAAGTTGTAGTTAAGAAAACAAATTGGTGAGCTCAGAGTTATTTTGTTGCTGTCGGTAAACTATGCAGCCTATGAACGTGAAAAAATATAAATGAAAGCTTTCATGTCGTCTACATTATTTTATTCTGTCTGCTAAACTTGTAATATCCCCTCTGTGGATTTCCGCAAGCTGTCTGTTTTTCTTTTATTAATATTTGGATGAAAAATGATTGTTTTCTTAGCCTCTTGTGTCTGATGTTGCCATAGTAACATTAAGACTGGAATGGTCGCTGAGTAGGGCTCCATTTTGATTGCTGGGATTCTTGCAATTTTAACTCCTAGCTCTAGGCACGGAGTATGTTTGAGTTGGGTTATCTGAGCTCCCTTCTGGTGTTTCTAGACTTCAATTCCTATCAGCCCCAGCCATTCAGACTTGGGTTTTCTTGTTCCAAATTTTGCACAGCTTTGAGGCTGATATAAAAAAAAAAAAAAAAGTCTGCTTTAATGATTAAACCGAGGAAAATGAATTACAGCAGTCGGGAATGTTATGGAAGGGAAGAGGTTAATTGCCACAGGGCACTGTTTATGTGGTTTTGCGAGGGCTGGTGTTGTGTATTTTATTTTTACATTGTGGCTGTAAATATCCCTTTCTGAGCCTTAGATTCCATTTCCAAGGGTTGGGCCGCAGCCTCCGCCTGCTAGCTGTCGCAGTTCTGTTAACATTCCTTTTTTTTTTTTTTTTTAAAGAAAACAATCAATTTTTTGATTATTTTCTTTATATATACTCATTAGTTTTTTTAATAACTTTTACTGCAGATATCACTTATCTGAAATGTACCTAGAAAAATAAAACAGATTGCAGTATTTTCTAAATTACTTTTTATTTTAAATTTCAGGTTTAATTTAATTATGCCTTTTCTTTCATTATTTAAATGAATTTTGAAAAAAAGGTTTGTTTGTCTTGGAGATCCCCGTTTCTTTTTTGCGTGTATACAAATATAACCACTTCCTCATAATAATTACCTAAGGCTAGAGAATGTATTTTTCTTTATGCTGAGTTGGGGTGGGGGCTTAAAAACCCACTCTCTAGAACGTAGGGATAAACCATGTTTTCTTAAAATGTGATGGCTCAAAGTTAGAATAACAGCCGTCGTCAGACTACAACTTCCATGATACTTTGCAAACCTTAAAGGGTAACATTAAACATCTTAAAACTGTGCACATAGGTTATACAGATATTTTATTGCCATCATAAAGGGACAGCATATATGCAACATAAACACTACATTAAGGTGCGGACATGTTGATGCTTAGAATGTCCGTTTTAGAGGTTTAGAGTAGACCATTGTACACAAAAGTAACAAGACAAGCTTCCACGGAGGCAAACAAATGTATATTTTGTAAACAAAGTGCTACCAAATATGTGGCTGGCTAACCACGGCACTGCAGGTGTTGGGGGACCATATTTCCACTTGACTGATATAGATGACATTACATTATTTCCATATTCTCTCTGTTCTCTTCCAGAATCTCTTAATGATGTTACTCTTCATGTATAAGTCCAGATGTGGACATAGCTGGTAAAAAGAGACAGACAACGTGAGTTTATCAACTGGCTGCATTCAGAGAACTACTGCCCTTGGTGAGTCCTTAAGTAGGGAATGTTTTTCATGAGAATTCACAATGGCATGACATCGGGAGTGGGGCTGGACGTTTGTCTCTTTACTCTGCAATCACAGAAATTCCTAAGTAGAACATGTTGAACTGAGGATATAAATAACTTAATAACTAATGTGGCAGCAATTTTTGATAAATGCAGCCTCTTACTGCAGCTGGCCCTGCCACATTCCGCCTCCTTGGCTAAGATCATCAAATTTGATCATCTCAGCCAATTCAATGCTTTCCCACAGGAAAGCATTGGAAGACTCTTGTGCATGCGCAGAAAAACTCTGCGCTACACCAATCACCATCTCCTCATAGAGATGAATTGACTTATGAATCTCTATGGGAAGCTCTGCATGGAGACGCTGAATGCCAGTGCTGCACATTGTGCAGCACTTAGCCAGGGAGCATCTCTAGTGGCCGTCTGAGTGACTGCCACTGGAGGTGGTCCCAGGTCCCATTTCTCTGAAAAAGCTGTGTTTACGTTAAAAAGCCTGCAAAGACAGGCTGTGAAAACCACAGCAACTACATTAAAGGGACACTATAGTCACCTGAACAACTACAGCTTATTGTAGTTGTTCAGGTGAGATCTATAGCTCCCTGCAGGCAATCTAATGTAAACACTGTATTTTCAGAGAAAATACAGTGTTTACATTGATTGATAGGAATACCTCCAGTGGCCGTCACTCAGACGGCCACCAGAAGGACTTCCTATCATGCAGGGCCCTGTACACGTCAGATGTATTAAAATACGTCTGACGTGTGCAGGAGAGAGAAGGCACTATGTGCGCGCCTTCTCTCTTCTGCCTGTCAGCAGAGGAGAGGGGCGGGCAAAGACCGCGAGCTGAGCTGTCAGTCAGCTCAGCTCGCAGCCGCACACACCGCGCTCAGGACTTCAGAGGGCGTCATGAATGCCGCCCTCTGAAGTATGTGCGCATGTGCGGCAAAGCCGCGCATGCGCACAAGGGAGCAATGACGATTCCAAATGGAAGCGTCTGATTGCTCCCTGCTCGCGCCCGCCTATTTTGTTATTTTGATGAAATAGGGGGTGCGGCTTCACAGGCTCCCGGCGCTGGAACCAGGTGAGTAAAAACTGCAGCCTGGAGAGTCCCTTTAAGCTGCAGTTATTGTGTTGACTATAGTGTCCATTTAAATTGAATATGCTGGCAGTATAATTCAAACTACAGCTGTGTGTTTCCCATTGGTCTCCATGCTCATTTTTACATTGTACATTATAACATTCTTGCTTTTTCATTTTTTTTTTAGGAGGCATGATGACATCAGAGAGTGTGTTGCTTCTGCACTGATTCAGCTCATGTGGTGTCCCACCAGGTGCATGCGATACCTCCAGAAGATAGTTGGATAGTGTCCAGACAAGCTCACTGGCACGGGCAACCTGAAGAAACCTAACTTTTAATGAGAAAGATCATCCTACAAAGGCAGTGATCCATTGCAGGACAAATACCCTATTCCTAGTCAACAATAAAAGGTAAGATTGGCTGTAATTGATGTATTTTGTGGTTTTGAACACTTACAGGGGAGATGTATTTAAGTGTCTAAATGTGAAGCCTAATCCACCTGCACATTCTGGTTTGTACAATGATTGTTCTACTTTTCACTGAAATTACTTTTTAAAATAATCCCCAATGAGTCCAAGTGTAATGACTATTTATGGATTGTTGATCATACGGCAATCAGAGCACTGTAATAATGTTTAATAATAGATATACTGGTGACTTCTTTCCCCAAAAAATAATTAAATACTTTAAACAAAACTCAATATTTATTTGAAATGTGGGATGCTTATCTATCTATAGAAATTAAAACACTAGGTTGTTGTCTAGGAACACTAGATACTTCAGAAGAATATTTTTAATTGAATTGTATTTATTTTGTAGAACTAATTAGGATCTAAATTTATTAGGGATCATTCAGTACCTTTTCTTGCATTCCTTCCTGCATAAAAATTAGAATAGGCTCACATTAATCTAGTAACACGCTAATAGAAATATAAATGTTCATATATCCTGTTCATGAGGATTTTTGGGAATGCGGGTTTCCTAAAATGCCAGCAAAATGTAAACGTGATGTGTGTACAGATATGATGCCACATACAAGAAATACAGGCGCAACCATGCATCCCGTTAATATGCCTTTCTAATTGTTGTATTCAGCTATTTCAGCTACTTCCACTACTGACGGGTGTAGCCTAACAATCACATATGTGCACTCTCCATAAGAAAACATTACATATCGATTGGTCAGTACTGTGTAGCTCAGTATTGTTCATTCCTTATCCATTAAGTCAGCTACCCTACTCAATTCTAAATGACATTCTTTTTAAATGAAAACATATTCGAGCAAAAATAGTAAACTGCTAAGCAGTTTTTCACCTTAGCTTACAGAGTGGGACCTTTAAAAGTTGAAACACATAAAAATCATCTGCTGTAAGAGAAATTGCGTAAGTCGTAATTTCCTCTGGAATCACTGTCAGCAAGAATTGTTTTTAAGGAGCCGCAACCGAGCTGCCATACATAGGTCTTTGAAGAAGTGTTGCAGTTGGACTCTAGATCGGGGGAAATGTGTTTTCTAGAGAGGTGGGGCAAGCCTCATCTGTGAACATCTGTGATTGACAATGAGTGACTCGAGATATGGTGGATGCCCAGAGTACATGCCTGACCACATACTGTAAACATAGTGTTTTTGCGTTGGAGTTATAATGGTCTGGCCTGATGTTTTCATTCCCAGTTGAGTTATTTAAAAAAACATAAGTCTGTGCTTCTTAAATTTGAGGCAACATTTTGCATCCAATACCGTTTAAAAATGTTGGGTATCCCTTGCACCAGGTTAAGTCCATAAGCCAATTACTTGTCAAGATTGATATTGAAGAAATTTTGTTGTTGAAGGAAATGGATCCCTGCTCTCGGTCCCATTAAACTCTTTAAAGTGAACAAGAACCGCAACTTTAGGAGAGCCTTATCTACCAAAATTACTGTCCTACGTCACTAAGGCCTCAATTTAAAAAAACTTTCTAAATAATAAGGTTTGCTTTCTACCAGACCTCCAAAGTGAAATTACCATGATGAGAGAATTTTAACTTGGGGCCTGCTTTTTTTATGTCTATAATTAGACCCTATTACTTCCGATAAACCTGGTTATGGCGTACATGGTAGGTATTCTTATACTGGGAGGAAGAATCAAAATATAAACCTTTACGATATTAGGAGAGAGCAAGCCTGTGAAATTCACCATGTTGTGTAAATGCTGCTAAATTTATCCAAAATTTGTGATAAAATTACATGAACAAAATCCAAAATGTTTTTTGTAAAAAAAACTAGATTGCCTTATTCTCTTGATGGAATGCCATGATGGGGAACTTGGAAATATCATGGGTGCTCTTGAGCCTCAATTGTGACTTTAGCCCAGTAAAAAACGATGTCAAAACTGAATGTCTGAATTCTAAAATTAACAGAGATTTAATTTGATCAATTAACTTCCGTCAAAATCTGTCAACATGCCATTGAGGGTTTGCTGTACCGAGGGGGTGAAATAATTGAATGAAATAATTAAGTGTAGGAAAGACATCTCGCAAAATTGCCAGATTGGCCTCATTCACAAACACACAGCATCATGGAAAAATATCAGTCACTAGCGTGTTCAGTATTGCAAATTGGTTTTATTGCTGTAATACGCTATAGAGTTCTCCCTCATCATTGTTGAATTTTATCTACTTTTTATTATGACTTTTGTTTTATTTTATATTCATTTTATTTCTTTATAAAAGAAGTAGCAGAGCAGTCTAAATTGCATAAATTTAAAGAAACAAAACAGTTATCCAAACAGTGCAATAAAAAGTAAATTAGCAAGTTGTGTATCTGGAACAAATAACATAGATGTACATTATTGTCAGAAGACAAACCATAGCACATCAAAATATTTGCATCTAATGATAAAGTAAATAATAACAGCAAACTAGTAGATACACTGCATGGAAAGCAATCTTGAAATAAGTTCCTTTATTTTTGGTGATATGTCAATGTTTTGTTTTTTTCTGTCTTATTCTTAATAATTATGTAGTTTCTTGACTTGTGTTTATTTATTTTTATGTGGTGTGATTACTGATTATTTTTTTTTACCCCATCCAGCTTTTTGTTACCATGGTAAATTAGCACATTCTCAATTTTATTTCATCCCCAGCATTCGTGACAATGATGGAGAATGGTGAAGAGACATACGTTCAGGAGGGTAATCGAGCAACGACTAGCCGCAGTGAGAGTAAGGATTAATGTGACATTTTAAAACATGCAAAACAAAAACTAAAACACTGACAATAACTGCCACATGATGTTTAAATAAATGTTTCTAAATACAATTATCATATAGAATATAAACATAGCATGGATCAGAGTGCATGCTCTAGTAGACTCTAAAATATCTACTCCGATATAATAGACTCTATAGTCCACATCTCCTCGGATATAATCAAATTTCTCCTCAGATATAATACTACCTACAGTAGAATTCACATCTCCACCTAGACTAGATAGAACCTAGAATCAACATCTCCTCCAATATCATAGAATCATATCAATATCATAGAATCTTGAATCCACATCTCCTCAGATATATTATAACCTAGAATCCACATCTCCTCAGATATAACAGAACCTAGAATCCATGTCTTCTCATATACTATAGAACCTAGAATATAATAACCTAGAGTCCACATCTACTCATATAAAATAGAACCTAGAATCCACATCTCCTAAGACATCATATTACCGACAGTGGAATCCACATCTCCTCAGACATAATACTACTGACAGTGGAATCCACATCTCCACACATAAAATGGAGCCTTGAATCCACATTTCCTCAGATATAATAGAACCTAGAATCCACGTCTCTTCAGATATAATATTACTTTACTTACAGTAAAATTCACATCTCATGTAGAATAGAACCTCAAATTCACATATCTTCATATATAGTAGAATTTAGAATTCACATCTCATCAGATAAAATAGAGCCTAGAATTCACATTTCCTCAGATATAATCAAACCTAGCATCCACATCTCCGATATCATAGAACCTAGAATCCACATCTCCGATATCATAGAACCTAGAATCCACATCTCCTCAGATATAATACTAACAGTAGAATTCATATCTCCTCAGGTATAATAGAACCTAAAATCCAAATCTTCTCGTATATAATACGAACGATGAACCCACATCTTGTCAATTATAATAGAACGTAGAATCTACATTTCCTCAGATATAATAGAACCTAGAACCCACATATCCTTGGAGGTAATAGGACCCTAGTATTTAAATTTCTTCAAATATAATTTACCCTGGAAACCACATATCCTTGGATGTAATAGAATCGAGAATCCACATCACTTCAGTAATAATAGAACCTAGAATCTACATCTCGTCATTATAAAATAATCTATAATCCACATCTTCTTGGATGTAATAGGACCCTAGTATTTACATTTCGTCAGATATAATTTACCCTGGAAACCACATCTCTTTGGATATAATAGAACCTAGAATCCACACCTGCTCACATATAATAAACCCTAAAGACTTTTTTCCATCACGATTACCTGACTCTTGCCATTTCTTGCTCCTGTGGAATCTTCATGAATTTAAATCTGCCTATGCCTGTCTTACAAGACGTACACCAATAGCCTACATGGAGTTGGAAAAAATTGGTCCGCTGCTGTTTGAATAAGCTTGGGACCTTGTCACCCAAAGCAGTCTCCATTCCTTTCAGAACTTGGTAGATACTTTTTACCTCGAAGAAGGGACATTTATAGACGTGACCCATCCATTTTACTCCCTGTGAGTGGTGGTTGTACCTCTTTTATATATCTGGCTCATGGTCATATTTTTGCCATGAGCAGTATGTTCTTATGCTATGAGATACTTCTACAATTCCCCTAGCTTCCTGCATGTCTACCGAGAAATGGACCTAAACAAAACATCCCAGGAGATAAATTGGAATAACTCTTAATTACAATAATAATAATTAAAGTGTTTTACCCATTGTACAAACCATATTGAGCTTTTACAGTATAGTATTCTAATGTAGTATACATCAAATCTTTCTAATAAAAAAATGTATTGGTAAAATATTAATGTGGACTCTAGGGTCTATCTTCTGAGATATTTAATAATGAATCACTTCAGATATGATTTAAGATCAATTCCACATTCCCTCAGACATAATAAACTTTAGGATCCACATCTTCTTAGATATTTTCAGTTGCAAATTGTTGTAGACCCAATGTTCAGATGTAATCATCATGAAACATCTTGATTGGAATAGATCCAGAATGCCACATTTGATCAGATATTTAGTTGCAAAACCCCTTCAAAAGATATATCTTGCCACATTTCTTCAGCTTGTTAAAGAGAACAGTCCATTCTCATAGATGCCACATCTATCAATCTTTCAATATTTGTCTGTGAAACTATTCCAATAGACTCAACAATACACATTTCTTCAGATTTAGTGATTAAAAACTGTTTTCGTAGACCCATTCCAATCATGCAATATCTCCTAATACATTGAGCAGTGGAACATCTCTAAACATACTAGCTGTGAGACAATTCTCATAGATCCAGCATTCCACACGTCATGAAATATATAGCCATAAAACCATTTCCAAAGGCTCAACACTTTCCATCACCTCAGTAGCTGTGAAACCTTTGTACATTTACCCAACATCTCACAACTCTGTAGATACAAAGCAGATTTGTATTTCTTTATAGACAAAACCTACAAAAAAGAAATAGAAAATCTCCCTGAAAGATCAAATTGGCACTTACATTGGATTTGTTTTGTCTGCTTAGTTTCAGAATGTTGGACTGGTATAAGGACAGAAGAAGTGAGACCATTTGTTCCTCTTCTTGGCAAGATGCCAGAAGGTCAGACACCTTCACAGTCCCCACTCATGTTAAGTAGCATTGATGAGCACCAGAACCGCTGGAGAGATAAACCAGGACACCGATTGCTGGAAGCCGAAACAGTTTGCCAGCCTGGTCCTGCACCTGTGCAATATGGATACCCTGCTGGTCAAAGCTCTCCAGCATCCTTAACACTTTTGGAGAAGCCAAGAACCACAGAGCCAAGTACTGTGGAACAGAGTGTTGCAGAACCACGGGTAGTAAGAATATCAGAAGACTCCAATACACAACCTGTTTTGCATGGTGCAACACCAATGCCAACAAGTTTTGGTAAAGTAGACAAAGAAAGTGGGATGCTCACTAGACCTCAGGGTTGGACTAATGTTGACACACAATCAAGGAATATAGATGAAAACAAAAGAAAAGAAATTGGCACTTCAGAACAGCCAGGTCCACGATATTGGGGTCTGTTCCAATGCTCATTCTGCAATTTTGTTTTCCAGGATCTCTCTGAGCTTTTACAGCATCAAGAAACCCACAACCAAGATAAGTTCCAAGGAATCGGACATGAGCTTGTTCAGTCAGATCAGCAAGATGAGACTGCATGTGAATGGCGTAGATACCGATGCATCGTGTGTGACAAAATCTTCTGCAAACAATCGTCTCTGGTTACTCATCTGCGTATACATACAGGTGAGAAGCCTTTCTCATGTCATGTATGTCGAAGAAAATTTAACCAACGTACAAGCCTCACTGTCCATCTTCGAACTCACACAGGAGAGGCACCATTCCGCTGCAACAAGTGTAGCAAGAGCTTCCGACAACAATCCAATCTCACCCATCACATGAAGAGCCACCAGAGAATAGAAGAGCTTGATGGAATAGAGTGGAGTGAAGAGAACAGGGCTCCAGGACTTCCTTTGATGTATCTCATATCAGAAGGGAATGAATCCACTAGTGAGGTTTGGGGTACAAAAGGTACTGTTCTTAAAGGTGGCAAAGAAGAAGAACCTGCATCTTGTAAAAGACCCTATGTATGCGGCCACTGTTTCAAACGCTTTACCCATCAGTCCAATCTCATGGTTCATCAGCGTATTCACACAGGGGACCGATCATACAGATGTCAAGAATGTGGCAAACATTTCAGTAGAAGAACCAGCTTGATGGTTCACCTGCGTGGCCACACAGGAGAAATGCCATACTCCTGTCAGCAGTGCGGAAAGAGTTTCCGTCAGCAATCCAATCTTCTCTACCACATGAAGAGTCATGCAGGACTAATTGACTTGAAAGCAGAAGTCCCCTCTGGCAGTGCTAATAAGCAAACAGTGAAGCTGTCTGGTCAGCTGATTGGGCCATCGGGCCAGTATGTGGACAGAGGAGAATATCCACAACTTTTAAACATTGGCAGTGTTGGAGGAGTGAGAGGAGAAGATGGCCAGGTGAGGGCCTACCAATGTAACCAGTGCTCAAAATGGTTTCCCACTACCTCCAGCCTCCTACTTCACCAAAAGCTTCACATGGAACAACCAAATAGTATAATGCAGTGCAGAGAAATTCAGGTCCAATACCCCATTAATAGGGGTCCTCCACATACATACACTGAGAACATGCTGTCTTCTCGACATGAGCTTGAAGGGTTTCCACAGCCCCTTTTTAAGTTCCCTCCACGTACTGAGGGAAATAGTGTCCCAGTCATTCCAAATGGCTCTGAGTCAAATGTCGTTCCTCAGCCAGGAAATAGCACTGGATTTCAAAGAATAGGAGGCATTACTGCAGAGAAGGTACCTGTAAAGGGTCCTTTCCAGATTAGGGGAAGAGGAAGGCCAAGAAAAAACCCTTTGGTAGGTCAAGGACAAGGTCCTATGATGGCTCTTTTAACGGGCAAAGCTATTCACAAGTGTTGGAAGTGCCCAAGACGTTTTAATAATAAGTCAAACCTGATCGTCCACTTGCGTATTCACACTGGTGAACGTCCTTACCAGTGTTGGAAATGTGAGAAAAGATTCAGACAGCAATCAAACTTGATCCAACATCTCAGGAATCATCAGGAACTTTTCCGAGATGACCTTTCCCCAGAACCGAGAAAAGAGACAAACAAAGAACAGGAGAATGGCAAGAATCAGCCAGACATGATGATGCTTCAACCATCCACTGTTGGCCAAGCTCGTTGGACATTTTTTCCATTCACAGATGGGAGCCAAATCAACCACAGTGGGCAGCTGTTTGACCCTCCACAGACTGTAAATCTGACTGAAATTTCCCCTGCCACTCCGTGTGTCAATTCAGGGACCGATGCCATTCCTCCATCAGCTGACAGATCTTTCAAGTGCAGAAGCTGTTTTAAGACATTTAATCACAAATCGAATCTCTTAGTCCACGAGCGTATACACTCAGGCGACAAGACCTACCGCTGCCAAGAGTGTGGAAAGCAATTCAGTCAACGCACAAGTCTGATGGTTCATCTAAGAACCCATACTGGAGAGATGCCCTATTCATGCTTGCAGTGCAGGAGACGTTTCCGTCAACAGTCCAACCTGCTTTATCACATTAAGACCAATACAGTGCAAGGCCTCCTCAAGTGCACCACAGAACACTTACCAAACTCTCCAACACTTTCAGGAATAGAGTCTGGAGGGGAAAACAGTATTGGATCTGATATGGAGTCCACACCTGGGCATGCACCTATTTGGATGCATTTGGACTCAAACCCAAAAAGCCAAATGTCTCCTGCCCCTCCAAATGAGAATACAAAAGTGGAGTTTCACTGTCCTGAATGTGACAAAGTATTTACTCACCAATCCAATTTGCTGGTTCATCAACGGATCCATTCTGGAGAGCGGGCGTACCGTTGCCATGAATGCAACCGTCAGTTCAGTCAACGCACTAGCCTGATGATCCATTTGCGTACTCACACTGGTGAGATGCCATACTCCTGCCAGTGCTGCGGTAAGAGATTCAGACAGCAATCAAACTTACTATACCACTTGAAGAGCCACGCAGAGCAGGGCAGTATTATGGATTCTATTCCAAGTTCAGATTATGCAGCTCCCAAGGCAAGAGGCAGGCCACGGAAAAGTGAGTCTAGTGAGGGGAATAGGGACAAAAGTTTAATGCCTAGGGGCAAGCGTACCTACAAGTGCACAGAGTGTCCAAGGCGTTATAACCTCATGTCTAATTTAGTCACTCATCAGAGATCGCACGATCAACAGCCTCTGTACAGTTGCTCAGAATGTGGCGAGAGTTTCCTTCAGCAGAGTTACCTCACCGTCCACAAAAAACTCCATGCCAAGCGGGACACTCCCCAACTTGGGGCCCAGTATTGCTGGAAGCCGAGCCAGGAGATGATGGACATCAGAAGTTCAGGTAGAGAAGAGGAGAGAGGAGCTGTGTACATACAGCACGAGAAATAGGCAGGGATCCTGTGGCAAATGTCTGAAAATAGGGCACAGAGTAGGTGTTAGACTCAAGCAAGGTGACCCTAAGAAGAAAAGCAATATTATAATCATAGGAAGAAAAGTCTGGGGGTGAGGATATATGGGGGTGCCTGTGAAATTCCTTTGCAATATCCAACAGTCAATTGGCAGTGCTGCATCTCCAAGATGCTGTAAAATTCTCAAGGGACTGGTCAATAAACTCTGCGTTGTGCCAAATATACTTCTGACTTGGTCGTTGTCCAACAATTGACCACAGTCCACTTGACGGCAACATCATAGAACTTGGCAGAATCTCAGAGTCTGTGAGAAGTCTGCAGAATTTCGCAGAAGCAGCGGCTAAAACGTGGTGACTCAATAGTGTAGCTCTATATTTAAATTATTTCTCCTGAAAAATGGAGGTAGGAGAAATTTCAACTCTTTTGAGGTTATGTACAGGATGAGGAATTGTGGAGAATTAACAAGGGATTGTGACTTTTATGCCATTATAGTGGAGTTGTAGACATTTTACAATTTGGCTATTTATAAAAGAAATGTGCAATTTCCTTGTCCATTCTCAACACTTTCTGTTTTGGTGAATAAATCCAGTTGCGTTGTATACCCATCTTGCACAAATTATTATTATTTTTTTCTTTTCATAGTGATTGTAGTTAATATCCACACTATACATAGAATATAAAAGCCTGTTACCATTGCTACAGCCTCCGCAGTGAGGGATAGCATGTATTTAGGCATCAACATAGTGTGACATCAAGGATAAGTCCTATAACACAGATTTGAAAGCACTTAATTATCAGATAAAATTTAAATGTTTATTACAGTATTGTAGGGAAGTTTGTTAATTCCATTGGGACATTTCATTGCCATTTTTAATTTGGCAACATTTCCCTTGGCCCCTGTGGGATCAATGTCATATTTTGCCTAATAAAGAGACCTATTCTGTGTAGCGTAGACACATTGATAGCACTCTAATCACTGACAGTAATTTCCCCAATGTTTCTTCTGTTTATATTGTATTGTTGTCCAAGGTTGTGTGTCCATGTAGAAATATGTGGTGAGACTCAAATGGGGTTATTCTCTTAACAGAGATCTTTGGAGAATTGATGTAGGATGCACAATTTCAGCCAAAATAGCCAAGTAAAAAATCAATCTGTGTTGTTTTGCACCGTTCAGTGAACCCAAGATGTGGTTTCCAAAAAGGTCTGTGGATCAGAATGTGTTGCAGTTAATATAGGTGTTTAAGGGGTTTATCATTGCTCAAATGCTAGCTACAGAGTTGGGAAGCAGAGATTCTTAGTATACGGATTTGAGTTGTCTTTGAATATATGGAAATGTGGATCAGGCATTCTAGTTGAGACAGTATTACAACAAGTATAGAATCCAGGTATTGTATGAAATTACATTTTTAATACCTTTTCAAAATAGCATTTTAATGTCATATTCTAGCAACTGGATTATTACCTAAAAGTGTGAATTGTTTGGATCTCAAATTTGAGTCGATTGCTCCATTTTTAGATTTGAAATCTGCCCTTTTATCCTACTTCCCTTGGTCCCGTTGAAGGCCATATTTGTACAATTTGCAAATATATTTTGTGGATCACTCATCATTTTCCGTAATGTAGTTGGAGGCTCTGAGTGATATAAAAAAAATCTGTAGTGACCCAGACCACTTGGGTGGTTGAAAGTTATTCTGTATCGGATTCTGAGCAGTACCATGCAAAGTCCATTGTGTGACCGTTCATTTGGAGTTCTAAGTAACTTTGATTGCAGAAAATACTCAACATTTCCGTCAATTGGGCTCATCTTTGTAGATTATCGTAGGAATTTGAAGAACCTTGCACATATATACTTTTGAATCAAACATTTTGATTTCTGTATGTTAAATTCAATGGGGTACATGCAATTTACCGTGATTTCTTTAATATAGCTACAATTCCTTGGGGGCTGCATATGATTTTGTTATATTTTGTTGTTGTCCGACACATCTAGCGTATATATCATGTTGGAGATGGTTCAATGAAAAATGTGCTTGTAGGAATATAGCTAAAGAGGAATTATGTCTCTTAATTTGTTCTTTTCTTAGAACACATTTAGAACGTTGTAACCCTCTTTGTGACATATTTGATTGCATAGAGGTCTGCCAAAGAATGCTTTTTGCACACCGACGTTCTAAATGCAGAAGTCCTGTCAAGGATTTTAAATGAATATCGTTGTTTAACAATTTCATTAAAAAAACAAAACAAATAAGATTGAGAACAGTGGACCTTGCAGTGTGAAGCATGCAGTCACCCACTGCTACCTGCATTAAATAAATTAAACTAAACTGTAAAATGTAGGCTAAAAAAAAATAGCCAAGCTTTCTTGAAAATTGGAGGTTTTTCCAAATCAGAACTTGCTGACTACATTTTATTATTTACTGTTTAGTAGATAAACTTAGTGTCTCCTACACGATCTTTTGAGGAACCACAAGTAGGTTTGTGGTCCTGACTTTATAGCAATACAAAGCTTTTAGTCAATGTTATGTCTGACAACCAGTTGGTTGAACTTGGCCACCGTTGGGCTGCTGGTACACAGTCTAAAACAGTTTGTATCAGCGCCAGACTGACACTGCTCACATAGCAAACGTTGGTAACATGGAATGTACATTATACATTCTCCAAATTCATGTAAGTTCGTGTTAGGCTGGATTCCATTTCTAAGAAAAATTTAAAGGAACACTTTAACCCCTTAAGGACCAAACTTTATGAATAAAAGGGAATCATGACATGTCACACATGTCATGTGTCCTTAAGGGGTTAAGTTTAGGAGTATAAATAGGTATTCCTAACGCTATTGTGCCCTACCGAGCCAACTCTGCCAGGGTAAAAAAAAAAAAAAGCGCGATTTACTTACATTTCAGCTCTCGTCGCGCTCTTGTGTAGCTCTGCCTTTTTTTCCAGCAGTGTTGATTATCTCAACCAATCCAATGCTTTTCCATAGGAAACGCTGTGGCAGTCAGATGGTTTCCTGAGACCATTCGACTAAAATATTTTAAGGAATAGCTCATATAGACAGCCGGTAGGGGCAGGCTAACCCTGTAATGTAAACGTTGTTGTTCCTGCAGGTTAAAAGGGGGGGTCACATGGCATTCAGACCACTTCAACGAGAGCCTATAGTGTTCCTTTAACTATATTTGAAAGCGTTTATATCTTGACCAAAGAAAGTAAGATTAATCTTATTGTGCCTCAGAGCGGTGTGCTTTAAAATAACTTCAGTTTAATTTTGTTACACATATTTTGTTAAAATAAACCCAGCTATAGTACATTATTATGTTTAAAAGTTATCCTCTATATCTGATAAACATTTAGCTTGCCAAACCACAAAATACATTTGGTAGCCTTAGAACATGATGTGTGTCACATCACATGCTATTTGCCTCATTGTTGTCATTTCTCCTAGGTTAGCTGCTGTGTGAGAAGGGCAACCAGATTAGATCTTTAAACCTGTAGTTCAGTACCCATGGCAGAGCAATACTTACGTTATCACAGAAGAGCAGACAATGCGACAGACATGAAGTACTCTAAAAGAGTATTCTGGGATTTATAATTTGTTTTATAAAGCAGCAGTAATGTTTCCTTTTGGCTCATAAAGAAATATAAATCATCTACAGAACGTATAAGTGGTTTCCCTGTAGCATGGATTGAGAAATTCCACTTGGAAGATGTTTATAAGCTTTATTAGAGTTTAGTCAATAGGTGAGTGCAGTCAGCAGTTCTAATCCTTGATGTATGTGATACTGAATACATATTTCAGACTTTCAAAATGTATTCTTTTATCTGCGGTTATTCATTTTAGGAAATTACCTAATTACTGGTGAAAACTCCAGTTTCATATACTTTGTAGATCCTATTCTTCTAAGGAAGGTACATGGGTGCACCCTAATTTTAATACCTGAGAAAGTATTGCAAGCAGTAGGTCCAGCACAAATATATGCCAGAATCTTAAATGGTTTCTTTCTCTAGATATAGTCAAGAAACTGTCGCTATTACTACCAGTTGAATGCATGCTCTCTCCCTTTTAAGTAAACATAACCATTCAACTGGGATAAAAGTCATTTGATGGCTTTTCTTTAACATTTGAATGAGAATAAGAAATGTGATGATAATTGAGCGTTGGTCTTAGACACTGGCTAACGAGGCATTATAATGGTGCAAGAGAAAGGAGTCATGCTTGACCATAACGTAAGACTGCAATTTTTTTTCATTTCTTTTGACCATACTTAAATTAGTAAGAAATCAGAGATGGGGAAAAAAAGACAATGTTTGCTTATTAAATATGTCAGCCACTGGAAGTATTTATAGTCATGGTAAAGGCTGCCATAGCTATGTGGTTGATGGGGGCCATTTTTTGAAGAAGCTTATTTGTTTAGAACACGTGTGACCTACTTGATGTTGTAAACCAGGCCATGGGTAATATGTTCATGGTTACTTTTACCTCTGCAGTAAGGTATCTTGTTGCCTTATTGTCCCATTGCTAAAAGGTCACAGCAGTAAACCACACTCCTTGCTAGAATTTAAAAAAAATTAATAAAAAATTCCATGATAGCTGTTGTATTTTGCTGCTCTGGAACAGACTGACCAAATTCTGGCTTTTGCAATAATGTGTCAGCGTGTATCAAAGCAGCTATTTGGTGTCTGAAAAGTGCAGACATTCACAATAAAGTTAGGTTTTCGAACTATAAAGGAAGAGAAATGTGTATATAAAAATAAATATATTTATAGATAGAACACGAGATTTTCAACTGTGCATATTTACCATTAGTGATGGATTGTTATATATTAATTTAAATACTTCTTTTGTCTTCCATTGACCGAATTTTGAATCTATAGAATTAGCAACACGTTCCTTTTCCGTGATGGGACTGTAATTCACAGAAACCATGCTCTGCGTCTAGGAATCCCGACTACAAGAACCGACCACCCTCACAGATCGTTATACTCCAAGGTCTGTTTATCTATAGATGTAAGACTGAGACAACCAATAGCTATTAAAATAAATAAAATAAAAATCTAATGTTTGAAAGTTTCCTCTCTGAATAAGCCAACAGACTTATCTCTCTGGATGTTAGACTTTGTTTTTAAGTTCCTCCTAATGATCCTACTGGTCAAGAATACCACATCGACAAACGCTCTTCCTGCTACCCACTGCCTGTTAAACTGTTACATTTGGTGACAAACAATGTTGCCATTATTTTAGCCAAGGTTAATAAACTTTAATTGACTTCACTTGGGCCCTGAGGATTAACATATTGACAGAGGAACCATATCTGCTTAATATAGACCATGATCTCAAGCTGCTCAGCAGTGGCTTTACAATACATAAAGACGTTTTGGAGGATGAGGACCTCAATAAATAATATATATATGAATTCGCAAAAATAGTTAAGGCTGTTACTTAAAATTTACTGTTTTACCCTCTCAGCGAGGCATATATACCAGGAGTATCATTTTGGAGAGCAAATTGCTCTTGTATTGAGTGGACTGAGATACAAAGGGCAAGACTGACTTCTGAGCAGTTTGATGGTCAGACAACCCAAGAATAGCCTTCCAGTGAGCCCAGAACTGCTTGTCCAAAGGATCATTGTGGTGAAAGAGGATCTGCAATACATATATACGGTTTTCCTTCCACCAAACTCCTTGTGATGCTGGTAAGAATACTGTTCTGGTAATGGATGAGAGACTTTCCCAACTCATCGACCCTTCAGAAAACCTTCCAAATGTACGCTCTCTTCTGCAACTCTTTACTAGGCTGTTTTGTTATGCCTTCCGTAGGATGCTTTTGTTAAGTTAATTCTCCATGTGATATTACTAACAATGCATTAGCAAAAGAAAATAAATACGTTTGTATAAGTCCATTCTGAACATGTCTCTCTCTTATATGGAAAGCTGTCGCAGCTGAAGCTACTGCATTTTAATCGTGTTAAATGTTATTTTTAGCAAATCAGCAAGTGTACCTCAGTGTCACAAAACTGTACTAGATGCAAGTATTTGAAAGGAATATAATGCAGGAACTATGGATAAGGATTGTGTTTGCTCCTTGCTTTATTGGGGGAAATGTCTTTGAACACGCAAAACACCATAACCACCATAGTGGTGATGGTGACAGCAGTGTGCTGGTGCTCCACACTGTAAGTTGTCAAGCCGATTTAGAACAGTTTTGGTTCTAACCTGAGGTGTGCACTGCTTCCTTCCTCCTCACAATGCCAGGTTTAGCTCATTGGCCGAGAGGGTCAGCTCTCATCCAACGAGCTAATGCATGCACGACCAGGTTTAGCTCAGAGTTCCTGTGACTGGCGTCCGGTAAACTTTTAGGCACCTGTAAACACAACTGCTGAATCCAAGTTTGAGTTCCCCCTCTCAATAGCATTGAAGAGACCTCATCTGCAATGCCTTGCACATTTTAGTTATCAAGTGTCTAAAATCTGGGATAAAGAATATACGTCTGATAATTCAGTAGTTGGAGATACGGAGATGTTAAATTATAAACTTATCTTGGTAAGTGTACGTCTATATTTATACCTGATGATTCACTTCAACCCATGAGCAAACCTAACATTACATTTGATGGAAGCGTCGGTGGTAAAGAATAGTAATTCAGTTACACAGTCCTAGGAACAATCTTGTAAAACTTGCTGTTCATTTAATAGACCCCCTAAGTGGTCCTGGAGTCTTTGGAGTTCAAAATTAGTTTCTCTTTTATACATCAGTGAATGTGTTTGGTGATAATATTTGTATAACATTGTGACTTGCCATAAACACAGGGAACAAGCTGCCTTATGTTTTACAGCAGCACCTACACCAAAGGCAAATACAATGCAGCTGGGCTATGGTGAAATACTTTACATTCTTCACTAGACCAGAAATGTACACACGTTTTTGGCAAACATATCTAAATTTAAAAAAAAAAGTGTTCTTTACAGTTTGCTGACTGGCCATTTCAGTCTTTTTTTTTTTTTTTGTTTCTTTATATTTCTGAATTTCCAGTTTGAAGAATGAACTTGTAAACCAATGCAATTACCAGTAACAATGTTGTTGTTCTGTCTAGACAAAACAATCATACCATTAAAGGACCATGATTGACAGAGAGGATGAGCTCAGTTCTAGGATACATCCATGAACATTTCTACATTTAATTTTATTTTCTAGATGTCAAACAGTTAAATATAGGGGATAAGAAATTAGCATCTGACTAACAGCACCTTTTAGATTAGCTTTAAAAAAAAAAAATAAAAAAAAAATTGCATTGTGCTAGAACTGTTCTAAACCTGAGCACATTGTGATGTTGGCTAAAAATGATGTGTGCCCAAATGCACAATCACAAAAGAAAGTCTGACCTATTCAAAATGACAGTAAGTTACAGTTTATAGTGATCCTTGTTTGAAATGCACACAGCCCTTTCTCGAATGGCCATACAGTTTGTCTTGCCCATTTTTACCATATTTTATTATCTTACTGTAAATAAACTTTTAAAGCTGATGAAAGTGATCATTGACAGGTAACTTTTTAAGGATCCTGTTGATAAATGGGTCCTCAGAAACATTATACAAAATGATCAGTGGTTAGAACACAGAGCTGCCTCTTGGTATCTTTTCTCCCTTTATATAGACAGAGGAATTGTGTAAGAAAAGTTTACAATTACATAAACCGGTTAGCAGAAACATTACTTCTCCTAATTTCACACCAACATCTAATAGTGCAAATCTACCATAACACCAACAATATACAAGGTTTGGATTTTTAGTGATGTAGGGCTCTGCATACTAACACAGTCATCTGAAGAAGTTTCTCTAAATAGATCCCAGAGAAAGTTATATACGTATTATACAAAAGAGATTTTACTTTTACAAATAAAAAAAACAACTATGATTTTCCTGTCGCTCAAACACACCTAACATTCAGAGATGGTAAAGTGTGCAACATAATTCCTTACACACAACTTTACTATTTGGAAACAAAAAGAAAAAACAAGTATACACGGAAAGAAACCGGCCAATTCATTAAAGTGTGTACATTTCTAATTTTAGGCAAATAGACAATTTTGAAAAATTCTCCAATTCAGCTGTGCTTTCAGTTTGACTATTCTGGTCTATGGGAGTTAATTGCTTTAACAATCATACCCATAATCAAACAGCACCCACCATTATCAGATTCACAGATAATGTACTATGGCAAGTTTGATGTAAACTACTTTGGTATTCTGTTGGTCAGGATTACACTGTTGGTTTTGGGTCTAAGTTTGGTTCCTGACCTATACATATAGCTCATTAAGGTGTCTGTTTACGGAGCTAAGCTCTGTTAACCTGTGCTCAATCTCAGAAAGAGTACGTGTGATCTATACCGCCTATTTTAAAAGATACCAACTGTCCGAGTATTACTTTTCAATAAAACCAAACATGAATGCCTTGTCTGACTTGTCCAATTTATCTTATTTTATGGCCCGGAGAGTAAAAATGTCACATAAAAAAAAAAATATTTGGCTAAGGTATTGCCACAAACATTTAAGAAAAGACTTTTCTTTACAATATATACATCACACAAGAGTGACCTCTTTTTAAAAATGGTATCAGAAGGAAAGGAAAAGTCAAAATACCTAGAACTCTTAACATTAAAGCCACATATAAAAGTCACTCAGACCAGAGTTGAGGGGTTGGTTAACGGAGAACTCATCTTGGCATTCCTATAGACTGAAAGTGGCTTTTGTCCTATTAACCTGCAAATGCTACACGTCCTGGGGCTGGATCATCTGATAGGACTCCTGCTTAACAGCGTTTCTCTTTCATCCTCCAAAGTAAGAATTCTTGTGCTTCGACCTACTCTTGTGGGACCACCACGTACGGCTGGTGAGGGATGCACTTCTGCCTCTCATTGCAATTGTAGATCCAGCGTGGACGGACAAAGGATAAGTTGCCATTTTCATTCAGAGCCTGCGTTAAGGCAATTTAAATATAAAAAGTAGAGACAACAAAAAGTCAATTAATAAATGGTGTTACATATGATGTTTTAATGTTCTTCTAATATTGCATGAAAAAAAACGCATGCTTGTTCAGGTGATGTAGTGTTAACAGCTGTTTGAGGTGAAGTTAAGATTGTTCTTCCTATGAAGACATTACAGCACTCATGAAGAAGAAAGTGATAAGATAAAAAAAGATGACAATAAGATCACCGAAGTATCTAGCATTGCACTTGTTTTACACAGTTCCCAATTTACCATCATGCACAGCTTTAGGTTTACACAGCTGCATTGTCAGAGGTCAGCTATATTGAAAGAATGATGCTGTGAAGGATGTCTGGCAGCATCATATGGGTGTCATCAGCCAACCCAGAAGTACAGTTTTTCTGCAGAGAATGTCAGTCAGCTGACGCTCTCCGACAATGAATGTTGGTGGCTTCAGGCTTCTGCAGCTCTTCAGAAGCCGTAAAACGTCACCAGACCAACAGGGACCGTCAGGGTCTGGTGCAGACCAAGGTTAGGGGCCAAACCATTGCTTAACAGTGTGCCCCATTAACGGGCCAGGGTACTCCAAGCATCATAACTACTACAGCGGGCTGTTAAGATGCTTGGAATAACCCTTTAATTATGTAGTTCACAAAGAATCATACCTTGATTTAAAAAAAAAAAAAAAAATGAATAAACTTTACCTCCTCAAAGCTGTCATCCCAGTCCTGTGAGGTGATTACAAACTGCACCTTTTCACTCATGTATTCTTCCAGTTCCCTGCAGACAAAAAAAAAAAATCCCAATAAGCAGGGATCAGATTCCCTCAGATACCACATCCAGTTCCTGCTCTCATTTCTTCTAAGAAACCTCAGCTGGTTCCTGCTCTCATTCCCTCACTTACACATATTCATTCAAGAACATACCCAAAGCCCCAAACTCCATTCTTTCTGAACTCTCAGCAGTCATGATTTGCTGACGGTAGCTCTCTCACTAGTCAAGGTATAGAGTATTGATTCGAGGTTAATCAGAAAAGACTGAAACATCCAGGTAGCATCCTTTCTGTAGCATGCATTCCCTCTACAAAACAACACATTGAGTCTTCCTACTCACCCGTTAAAGGCTGTTATATATCTCTGTAGCGTCCTGCGCTCTGTGGCAGGGAACTCTCCATACAAAAAGAAGCGTTTACCAGAGAACAAATCTATTAAAAAAAAAAAAAAAAAAATGAAGGAAAAGATTATATACTTAACATCCAGAAAAAAAAAAAAAAAATCAACTGTGTTTGGTGCTATTGAAACAATAAGAATAAAATTAAATGTGAGGTTCATGTGACCTGAAAATCTATAAAAACCTTACAGGTATTGCATACAATACGACATTAACAATCTTTTATTTTTCTTGTTTTATGGAACTTGTGCCTCAGAGTTTGAAAATTTTGCCTTGTTGTGATTTAGCCAGTGTGATTGCTCACTGGATCGAGCTGTCACAACCACAGGTTCGATTCCTGGCAAGTCCATCTCAAGCTTTCATCCATCCAAAGCCGACTTGAGCACCCATTATGTTATGTAATAAAATCACCTAGACCCCAGAACACTTAGAAATTAGCAAAAAGCTAAAAGTACCTCTCCATGTTAAAGGACCACTAACTGTTACCCAGACCATTTGATCTCATTGAAGTGGCACAGGTGCAGTGGTCCTTTAGCTTTAACACTGCAATGTTGTAGAAATTATGATTGCATGGTTAAAGGGACACTATAGCTTACTGAAGTGGTCTGGGTGCAGTCACTGTCTCCTTAACCCCACAATGTTCATTATTACTGTTTCTAAGAAACTTCAAAACTACATTGCAGGACTAAGACTGCCTCTAGTAACTGAGACTTTTGGTCGCCTAACGGATGCTGGACGTCATCACGTTTTGCATGAGGACATTCAGCATCGTTAAAATCCCCATAGGAAAGCCTAATGGGCTGCGGTGGCCACTCTTATACCAAAATTTGACTGCTGCAGTGAGGAAGTTTTCTGTCACGTTAAGAGATTTTGCCTTTGAACTAATAGCAGCAAAGTGAATTGTTAGTGTAGACAGGGTTCTCCAAATGTTGCTGAACTACAACTCTCATTATGCTTTGGATGAAAGAATCAGAGAATCATGGGAGTTGTAGTTCAGCAACATCCGGAGAGCCATGATGTAGGACTCACCGAGAGGTTTTGCCTTGACGTGGAAGGTGAGCTTACACTGTAATGGCCATTGGAGTGATATTACAAATACCTCCAGTTACTTAAATGTGCATAGGGATTTGGGATAGTGTTCAAGTATTTTCTTCTTCGTTTAAGGTCTGATATATAAAAAACGCACCTGGTAGTTCAGGAATGGGAAGATCAACCTCAGCTTCTTCTTCCACATCGGTGTTCTCGTCTGTTGAGCCTGCGTAGGGATCATCTATTGACATGAGTTCCTTCTTTACTGGTTTACCAGCATTTGGCCTAAAATCCAGAAAGGAGATATGAAATACTAAAGCTCCCTCAAAAATCTTACAAGCTCTGCCATGGCAGCACTGATCCTGAATCCCAAAGCATACAGTAAAAGACTCAAATTATCCTCTCTCATCCTCTTACTGCTTAACCTAAACAAGGCTGCCAACACAAGCTTTCTTATCAGTCCATCAACCAATACCAAACATGTAGTGGTGCTGTCTGTCCTAACCACCATACACTGGAAACAGACTGATCAGGATTACAGTGCAATACTGTAAGATTCTTTGATGTACATGCTGGCATATTAAACAAGCCAAGGCAAAAAAAAATATCTCAACTCAAGCACATATAGTGGAATCAAAGACGAAACTTTGGAATCAATATAAAAGAAAATCATTTAATAACGCATTATTATTAGCATTTATACTGCACCAAAATAATGCACAACACTTCACAATAATACTAAGAGGATATTTAGAGGTGAAGAAGGTCCTTCTCAAACAAGCTTACAAGAAGAAAAAGTAGGAGAAAAAAACCCCCGAAACAAAATAACATTCATAACTCTTATACGAGAATCATGCAAAGAACAGAGCTCAATAATTGCAACCGTGAATATTCAATGTAACGTCTTTAGCATTATTCCAGCATGAGAGGCTAGGAAAGAGCCGCTGACTGTCAACACAGCTTTTCTACATGTGTTTTATTTACAGAGTAAGAAATTTAATGGACAGTGTTAATACACACGCCAGTACAGAACAATGTACATACCCTCCTAAATCATCCTCTGTGTCACTTCCTGAGCCGTCCGCTAGCTTTCTTTCAACTCCTGAAAATAGAGATTATTAATTCCCAATACAAGTAAGATGTAGTAGTGCTTTTTAAAGCTCAGTTCCCATCACCTATCTACCTGTGTTTTCCTCATCTGTACTTGCACCAAATTCATCCTCCTGTTTGGTCACTAAAGGTTTGGGCTTTCCATCTTCTGGGTCTTCCTCTTTTACAGGGACTTTAGATGGCTTTGCTTTGGCGGGGCTGGACCCTTGATTTTTGTGGTTTGTTCGGCCAGAATCTGTATTCTGAAATGAGATGGCACTGGTGTCAAGTAAGACCGAGAGCAAAGTTCCCTTGTCCTTGTGCAAGTGAGGTGAAAAGAAACCCAGGTCTATTAAGCTGAATCTTTTGGACATCCTTGCTGATGCTCTTGATGCAAAATTATAGCAATTATTTGCAATGACTTCAAAATTACAATCCAGTATCGTCCTGAATAAACTCCTTTAATATTTATACAATAATCACAAATTATACAAATCTGCCCTACTGAAATAATGTCCATATCGATATTCTTTCTGTAAAGAATCTTTCTTGTTGCAAAAAGCGAAAGCTCTTTTCGTTAAGTATCGATGGATGATATGATTGCAGCAACTACTGGAGGAATCCTGCATATTATCATGGGTCATAATCTTTTGGCTAAGAGATTAAAGGTGCTGAACTGTAACTGTATCTCTAAAACTTGAGTTGTCGGCTGGTTGCATTACAACTATCGTGGTGTTTGAACAATGGTAATAGCTTACTATTATTGGTGTGCTACACGCTGGCTGTCCTAATTCTGCAGTGAAGAAATGCGTATCCTTTGTAAAAGTGGTGGTTTTAGACACTTCTCTGATTTAACAGGCTGGAGAAAACTCATGCACAGAAGTCTATAGGAGAAGGTATTTAAGATATGTGCCAGTTCCTGTGATTACACATCATTCTCATGGTATACATGGAAATGTAGAATTAAACAATCAACAGAAATCTATAAGAGAAGGTATTCCAGATATGTGCCTATGGAAAGGTAGAACTAAACTATGACAAGGGCACATGAATATTGAGTAGGAGTATACTATGACCTGCACACACTTCAGAGAATATTTACCGTTCTGTGGGCTGGGGCTTTTGGTCTGGGAGGCAAATCTTCCTCACTGTCATCACTATCATCCTCACTCTCACTGCTGGAATCAGCCGTGGTCATCAAATATCTGCGATAAAAACACTCCCAGTCATCAGTAAAACAACAAATAATGTACACTTGGTATTTACAATTTTGAAGGGTCAGTTTAAGTAGCAAAATCACTTTAGCTTACTGATGTGGTTTACATGTATAGAGCATGCCCCTGCAATGTCACTACTCAACTCTCTGCTGATTAGATGTTAAATGAATTTATATCTGCAGCCCTAGCCACACGTCCCTTGGCTGTCAATCACACAGCCACTCTATACACTTCCTGAAAATGCATATCAATTTTGTATCACATAATAGCACAATATGTTTTGCCATATAATTTGTGAAAGATCCAGTATTTAGCTATGATGGATAGATATATTTTTAATTAAAGGACCACTATGGTGCCAGGAAAACAAACTCGTTTTCCTGGCACTATAGTGTTAGTAGGTCCACCCCACACTTATTGTCCCCCTCCTTTCGGGCTCTAGGGGGAGGAAGGGGGTAAATTCTCAATGCTTTCCTATGGACGCTGGCGTCTTCTCACTGTGAAAAATCACAGTGAAGCGCAGAATCGCCTCTAGCGGCTGTCAATGAGACAGCCACTAGAGGCTCGATTAACCCTAATGTAAACATAGCAGTTTCTCTGAAACTGCTATGTTTACACCAGGCAGGGTTAACCCTAGATGGACCTGGCACCCAGACCACTTCATTGAGCTGATGTGGTCTGGGTGCCTATAGTGGTCCTTTAAGGTCTATTTACAGGTATGTCTTTAGAGCTGATAGAGATAGAGATATATATATATATAATAAACCGTTAGTTGAGTAAGTGTTAAAGATGTGGTATTGAAAATCTCCATGTATCTACAACGCTTTTGATTAAGCGCTGTCCATCACAAACACGGAAATTTGTGAACAAAAAGGGCGCCCCATAGGTCAGCTTAGATGCAGAGGCATGTTCTGCAGCTTAGAGCAAGTAGGATTTTAGGCAGTTAGGAAGGGGATTTGAATAATTTATAACAAATGCATATTGTGTGCTCTTTTTAAAAAGCATTAAACAATATCCATTCTGTAACCATTACCTCTAACTCTACAATTATCATACATCAGCAACTAGTCAATGTATGCCACCAATGAGAACAGAGCACTCCCTCTTCAACTATATAAGATGCTTTATTGCCTTCACATGGCTGCATGGAATGGATGAGCAAGACGCTCTTACTTTTTACTTGGCAAACGCTGCTGCTTCTTGTAACAGTCCAAGACCCACTCTTTGCGCACGATGGTGCCTCCTGCTGCTTTCACTTGACTGTATTTGGGGGTGTTGGCAAACGCACATCTGGAAAAATAAATAAGCAGAGATTATATTCCATCTTGTAGGGGGCAGCAATTTGACCAAAGCTACCAGGTGTGCAGGTCATCTCCTTGGAATTCTATTAATGGGGGAAGAGCACAGAGGATTAGTGGGAAAGAGTTCGCAGTCACCATTTCAGTATTTTGTTGTTCCTTTTTTAAATTTTGAAACTTGCAACAAATTCTTATTTGGGACTTCAGCTTCCAATCTATATATATTCCAGAACTGATGAATCCGCAGGCAATTTGGGTTTTAAAATGTCCAGATTCCTATCCTTTGTATTGAATTTAACATTCTGGACATTTTGTTTGTCAAATCTCAGCTAGCTTGAACCAAATTTATGCATTGGATCTCATCAATGAACATGCTTCAAATTGCCTTTTTTTCAGAAATAATAAAATATTTAATGTCAAATCTGCTATTCGTTTTAAATGAAACAATACAGAGGCAAATTGGGACTTCATCAAATAACCCTTTATTGTTGTGTGTAGAATGCTTGTGTTATCTCAAGTCCTCCTATAAACTACATCTGAGCTTTTCAATTAAAAGGAAACATTTTATATGATTTTATCCCAGAACATACATGAGGTGAGTACTATCTGGTGTCCAGTCTGGTCTGTACTTGGCACCCATCTCCAGCGCTTTGTCCCGTAGATCAGATCTAAAAGGGTTCTGGAACCCACTGAGCACAAACACTGTCCCTTGCAAAATGCGCCCCATCTCCACAGGCTGGGAGGCAGAGGGGGATTTTTTGTGAGACGGCTTCTCTGGGGGTGAAGATTTCTTTGCTGCAGGTGCAGTAGAAGGTTCAACTGAAACAGAATCACAGAATAAGGTGGATTTTGCAAGTAACTTAGGAACATGAAAACCTGAACCCACAAAAGAACAAAAGTAACAGCTAACTGTGCCAACCCCCCACGAAACCAAGTTTTCCATAATGCAAATCAGACTCCAGATATTTGCTTTGGGATATTGGGACTTGTGGATTTTCAAAAATGTATATGAAACAAAAAATGTTAAGGGTTAACTAACCACCATAGCCACTTCATCTGTAAATGGAATGGTATCAATGGTTATAGTGCAAAGATCTCACTGCGGCCTCTCTCTCAATGTTGATGCTCTATAAATAATAATGTGTGAGGTTCTCACTGTTTGAGCACCATCTAGTGGCTGCTGGTGTAACAGCCACTAGAGGATTGTATAGCCCTTTAAATTAAAAATTGCCCAAAACTGCAACGATTTACAGAGTTTAGCTAAACCGTAGGGCAATGCACCCTGACCCCTTCATTGAAATTGGTCTTGTGTGCTTAGAGTGTTCCTTTAACACTCACTGAGAAGTATTTACGTAAAGAGTAACAGAATGCCAACGGTTTTTACAGTCTGGTGGAATAGTTACATTCTAAAAACAGCCCACGGAGAAATGCAAGAGCACCACCATTTGTGTGAAGTTTATTTTCTAGAATCTGCCAGAATTAGCAGTTATGTCTAGATTTGAGAATAGAGATAATCCCAGTAATAATAATAGCATGCAACCAGGAAAGGTACGTTTAGCTTTTTTTCCAGTTTCCAAGTAGACACTGGGGATTATTAAAGATTAAGCGTTGGGTTGTCTTTAGCAGGTGCAAAACGTGTAGCAATGAGATAGAGCAGCTGGACTAGATCCACTGTGTGCTCTCACTGCCTTCATTACAGATAAACTAGATAGGCGATCAAAGACAGTGTGTGCTGGGATCATTGGTTGTAAAAGTAGTGCATTTATGGACTTAATCCCTGTTAGAAGAGGCAGTGAATCATTTTAACTAGAACTGAAAAAACAAATGTTTGAAAAAAGATGGTGTGAACTTCTTGACCATTAGACTCAGTTTCTTAAAGGACCACTATAGGCACCCAGACCAGAGAAACTGCTATGTTTACATTGCAGGGTTAATACAGCCTCTAGTGGCTGTTTTCCTGACAGCCACTAGAGGCGCTTCCGCGACTCAGTTAGTAAATCGCACTTATTTGACACTGGATTTCCTCACAGAGTACAGCGTCAAATAAGATCCCCATAGGAAAGCATGGAGTAATGCTTTCCTATGGGCGTGTTTGAATGCGCGCGCTTCTTGCCGCGCATGCGGATCCACTTGGGAGCCGACGTCGGCAGTGGAGGAGAGGTCACCAGTGCAGAGGAAGCCCGGCGCTGAAGGTAAGTGGCTGAAGGGGTTTTAACCCCTTCAGCCCAGCGGGAGGGGGGCTATTAACCCTATAGTGCCAGGAAAACTGTTTTTTTTCTTGGCACTATAGGATCCCTTTAATGTCACATGTATTTATCAACCTAGAGGAAACCTGTATTCTACATTACTACACAAACTATAAGACTATACAGACATTACTACACAAATTAGAATAATAGAGTGGCCCCATTGTCAATATACCACAACGCAAACAATTATATTTGCGTTACATATAAAACTTCCAAATTAGGGATAGCCAGTTGGTTGAGCTCTATAAATTGTGTGGTGCTCTCTCTATCTACTGCAGAACATACCAGCTGTGCAAGCATCATGGAAAATTTGTTAACAGTTGGTTGCTCTGAGCTGGTAAAATGGTTTGAGTCCAGCCCTCGTGCACTGTAAATAACTCACTGTTTAATTTTAGATCAATCCTGAGAGACCAGTGATTACCTTTCATCTTTTTGGTGGCTGGCTGGGAGGTGCTCTCTTTTGGACGAGATGGTGACTCCTTGATGTCTGTTTTCTTGGCAGGAGCATGGCTTGTAGATTCCTTGTTAAACTCAAACTTTCGCTTGCCAGAAGACGGATCCTAAATACATCAATTTAAGGAATTAATGCTTCCATGGACTTACAGGAAAAACGGGTGGGCATTCGCACAGATACATCTATTTAAGTCTACCTTGAAATAAAGGCTTGTGGACGTGTTTTATTTAAACTACCATGTGAAAGAGCCTATTTTGAAAAAAAAATAATGAAAACTGCTGTTTTTTTGCCTAAAAACTAATTTTCCCTGCTGCCCAAAGTGTTTGTGTGTTTCTATTGCCACAGACATGGAAATTCGAGTATACTAGGAGTAGAATGAAACGTGTATTGTGCTGGACTTAAACAGTATATTACTTTGCAGGACTTTCCAAACCTCACCATAATGACAGTTTTTGATTTCATAAAACGCACTTGATTTTTATGTATTTGCTAGTGTAACGGATCACCTGGCACCCCGACTGGGTACCTCCGTTGAAGGATGCTCCTAGCGCTTCCTGAGGACTCCAAGCACTCTGGCAGACACCACAATCACCGAACCGGAGAAACAAATAAATTCTCCCAAGCATATGAATGCTGTAGACAGTTGAATAGGAACCATACGAATAGGTTTACTCTCCTAGCAGTCAAACTGGAACAGCATACAATAAATCCTTCCCCCAATAATGAGACGACACTTCACTTTGAGGGTTAAAACAGGAACTCCCTGTACTGTCACATACAGTCTCTTTTATTCCCAATCCACAAACATAGTACAGCCCACAGGCGTTACAAAACAACCAATCACATCACAGTTACATCCCACATATTCCCTCCCCTTATCCTGAGAGGAAACTCAATTATACATACAGTTAAAACATACTTTCTACCCAACTTTCTTAACTCCAAAACCATACATCACATTCACATAAAATTACATATTCACAATCAATCCATTCAGGGGAACAACATATTCAAAAATGGCACAAATCAGACAAAAGGTTCAAAAGTTAGTAAAAAGTCCTTTGTGACTAAATGAAGCATGGCTTTCTGGCCCAAACCAGTTTCAGAGTCTTCTATCCTGGAGATAATTAAATTACTTATCTCCCAGGACAGACACAAGACTCCATTAAGCACATGGTTGCAAAGACATAAAACACTTTAAAATACATAAAGGCACCTTTTACACATAAGACACAGACATTTCACATTTCCCCAGATAGCTGGGATCTGAGCGCACAAAACTACCGAATAGCGCTCAGATCCTATTCACACAGTTCAATTGCCATGGAGCCAAAGTCTAACTACACGAATGGGCTCCATGGCATAGCTATCTGGGTTAACACATTCACATAAAGTCTGGTCCATAGTCCAAAGGCAAGAGGCGGGCAAGCAGCCCCCTCCAAGGACACGTGGCGAGGCCGGTTTCGCCACATTTCTCCCCTTTACCATCCAGACTAACAGGGTATCTGACCTCCTGCCGGTCAGTGCCCTGGTTAGTCCAGCAACCCACCCACGAAGCACAAACAGCAATACAGCCCACCCACAATAACTGGTTACTACACCTGGATAAAATAGCAAGTTGTCCGTGTCCAGGTGCCTCACCACGGCTGTACGGGGGGCTGGTAGAATGCCTTGGTGGGTTGCTGAGTGGGCAGAGACCAGCGGTACTCTGCCCGGGTGCCAGCGCTACCACTGAAGTAGCCTGGTTGGAGCCTGGTTGTGGGAGGGGGAGACCGACTGTCTCCCCTCTGGATACACTGCTCTGTGGCTGGGGACAGGACCGACTGTCCCTACCCCTGGTGCTGCAAGTGCAGAGACTACGGTCCCATCTGCATAGTTGTGGGGCTTAACATCTCCCCTTGGTGGGTTAGGCTGCCGCTGGAGAGAGGGTGTAACAAGCTCCTCTCTCTGAACTGTAGACAGCCGCTGGGGAGAGGGGGTAACCTGCTCCTCTCCCTGACACTCTCTTTGCTGGTGGAGAGGGGGACCAACTGTCTCCCCTTTCAATATTTTGTCCTGCGGCTGGGGTGAAAGACAGACTGTCTCCGCTTCCTGCAGGACACACTGCCGCTGGGGAGGAAGGACTGCACCTTCCGTTCCCTGGGAAAAAGACTGCCGCTGGGGAGGAAGGACAGCACCTTTGGCTCCCTGGAACTCACACTGTTGCTGGGGAGGAAGGATAGCACCTTCGGCTCCCTGGAACTCACACTGCCGCTGGGGAGGAAGGACAGCACCTTCAGCTCCCTGTGATACATACTGCCGCTGGAGATCTGGGCCGACCGCCCAGCATCCCTGTAGGGCCGGTAGAGAGACCGCCATCCCATCTCCACCTGCCATTTGTGGGTCTTCCCAGGACCAGTCTATGAGGTCCCCTACTTCTGCAGCTGGTAGTGAAGCAGGGGGTACCTCGGCTGCGTTTTCCCAGCTGTAGGTTGGCAGGTCTGGGTCCCCCAGCCAGTTTTCCTGTTCTGTGTCCATGCCCTGTGGCTGACATGAGTTTAGTAGTTCCACATAGTCCATCTCTAGCTGTCGTTCCATGGCAGCCAAACGGTGGAGGTCTTGTCCCAGTCCCATAGATCTCGGGCCCTGTACCATCTCACCTCGGTAATAAAAGATAGCCCAGTACCGTGACTCTGCTGGACTGCCAAAGTCGACGTCTTCTGCTAAGGCCTTCCACAACAGGCCAGGGCTAGTGTAGTTCTCTCCCTCCGGCTGGATGCCCTCTGCCCTCCACGTCTCTGGCTGGACAGTGCACCACCACAGTGCCCGGTATGAGGCGTCAAGGCTCAGTTCCCTTTCCACGAGGTACTCAAGTTGTCTGACCTGCTGCCCTCCGGGTTGGTCTCCCAGAAGCGGCATCCGCCAGGCCATTTGTTCCTCCAACCGGTATGCGACACCAGGAAGGTGCTGCTGCCGTTGATACTGGACTTCCTCCAGGGCATCGTACCATAGTTCTTGCCGGGCAATATCTCTCCATTCCAATTCACTCTCTTCCTCAGGTGTGCGTGTTGCCCAAGGATCCACGAACCCCATTTTCCCAAATCTTTATGTAGACAGGGACGCTGTATAAACACTAGCGTCGCCTTCAATTTGTAAATCCAAACGAACTGTGTCTCTGAGCTGCTTTACCTCGCACTAGGATGCCATCCCACTGCTTGCCACCAATGTAACGGATCGCCTGGCACCCCGACTGGGTACCTCCGTTAAAGGATGCTCCCAGCGCTTCCTGAGGACTCCAAGCACTGCAGCAGACACCACAACCACCGAACCGGAGAAGCATATGAATCCTCTCAAGCATATGAATGCTGTAGACAGTTGAATAGGAACCATACGAATAGGTTTACTCTCCTAGCATTCAAACTGGAACAGCATACAATGAATCCTTCCCCCAATAATGAGACGACACTTCACTTTGAGGGTTAAAACAGGAACTCCTGTACTGTCACATACAGTCTCTTTTATTCCCAATCCACAAACATAGTACAGCCCACAGGGCGTTACAAAACAACCAATCACATCACAGTTACATCCTACATATTCCCTCCCCTTATCCTGAGAGGAAACTCAATTATACATACAGTTAAAACATACTTTCTACCCAACTTTCATAATTCCAAAACCATACATCACATTCACATAAAATTACATATTCACAATCAATCCATTCAGGGGAACAACATATTCAAAAATGGCACAAATCAGACAAAGGGTTCAAAAGTTAGTAAAAAGTCCTTTGTGACTAAATGAAGCATGGCTTTCTGGCCCAAACCAGTTTCAGAGTCTTCTATCCTGGAGATAAGTAATTCAATTATCTCCCAGGACAGACACAAGACTCCATTAAGCACATGGTTGCAAAAGACACAAAACACTTTAAAATACATAAAGTCACTTTTTACACATAACACACAGACATTTCACATATCCCCAGATAGCTGGGATCTGAGCGCACAAAACTACCGAATAGCGCTCAGATCCTATTCACACAGTTCAATTGCCATGGAGCCGAAGTCTTTAACTACACGAATGGGCTCCATGGCATAGCTATCTGGGTTAACACATTCACATAAAGTCTGGTCCATAGTCCAAAGGCAAGAGGCGGGCAAGCAGCCCCTTCCAAGGACACGTGGCGAGGCCGGTTTCGCCACAGCTAGTAATACCTGGGCACCTATGGTCCTGCATGTATAGAATAAGTTTTAATGCACATGTGAAAAGAGTTGTCCCTAGTTCTTCTGTACTAGATGAGCTGTGACTAGTTAAGTTTTTTTGTTTCTCTAACCCCATTTCGCTGGTATAATGGGATTTTTGTCTCAGTAAATGCGAGACATACACCAGCGCTTCTAGTTCAAAGTGAATGAGAATCCTCAAGTGGCTGCGCTGACCATACTTTGATTACATGTACTGTATTTAATTACTGTATTCTGACCCCTAAAATAATGCTGCTGTGTCTCCAAATGGACGCGCATGTTGCTGAGATACATTTCCGAATTATGATCGGTCCAGTGAGAATATCAGTGTATGCTGTACCTTTTGAGTTGTACTGCTGGGGGGCGTTTTAACCATTTGTTTTTCACTGTTACAACTGGTCTCTGTGGAGCTGCTGCCCTGCAAGGCTGCCGATGCATAACTCAGTGTGGTCTGTGGAGCTATAAAACAATTTTGTTTTTAAAAAAAGCAATAAATTAAAAACATTTTTGTTTAAAAAAATAAAATCTAAAAATTTTTGTTGCTTTGAGAGAACTAATTTAATACACAAAACGAGCAAATAGATCAGGAGAAATGATCAGTAACATGAGATTTAGGGGCTCAGAAAGTTCTCCTGTTCTCAGTACAAGAGAGAAAGAATGCAATGAAAAGTATCACGTAAGCTTTGAAATACAGTTTGTATATACTTCATTTTTGCATGAATTTACATTTTCAATAGAATACTATATTTGTAATACTAAAAACATGTATTTTACACTTTACTTATTTAAGGCAGGTGATTATAGTTCCATTTTCACATCAGTAATATTAATTTCTTCAAAACATATTGGTTAAGAGCATCAACTGACATGTTCAGCCCATCACAGCCATCCAAATAAAGGCAAAACTGATATTGTTATTGTAAAAGCGAAACATTAGCAGTCCAGGGAGAGGGGGAAGGTCGTGTTCTACTGCTTTCAGTCAATCTGCTTGAAAATGACAAGGACAGTGCCTGCAGCACCATTCTCTCTGCGAAGGCACACAGGTGATGGTTTATTTCAATAGTCGTGTAACCATGGCACAATAAGCACTTACAGTGTACATACTCACCTTTTGATGGAGTGTCTTGCGGTTTGCTGGTGCGGCTGAAAAAGAGACTGCCGGGTTGCATAGAAGGCGAGTCTTCATCATCTTCCTTCACCTTAAACTGGCCCAACTTGGTGACTCTCTGCACAGTAGAAATCATGGTGCTTTAATTAACTCAAAAACCAGTGTTATCTTTATTATGCTGCATCTCATTGTAGAAAAACAAAACAAAGAAAAGACGAAATAAAGCCTACGTTTTTAATACTCTTTGGCACAATGCTAGTAAGCTGTCCGGTTTGCAAATATCATGTGGCTAGCTATACAAGAGTGCAAAAAAAAATAATTAAATGGTGAAAACTGCTTTCACTGATGTATGTACTGGATGAATATTTTACCATTGTATCTCCCGTTCACTCAGGGTTTAAACTACAAGGGGAATTGTGGAGAAGGAATTGAAAACCTCAGACAAAAAAAAAAAAAAAAAAAAAAATGCAAAGTTGGAGATTTTTCTCAACTTGTACTATTTGTGCCTTTACTTTGAAAATCTCTTGTCAATTATCTAGTGCCTAGTTCAGTGATAAGACCCATGTTCTGTGCCTAATTCAGTGAACAGAAGATTAGTTCCAATTCTTACACTTTGCCAGTTAACCATGATGTAGAGCAGGGGTGCACAAAAGGTAGATCCCCTGATTTTTTAAAACTACAGCTTCCATGATGTTTTGTAATTTTAAAGGGAGTTTTAGTTTTACAACATCTGGGGATCTACCTTTTGGGCATCCCTGCTCTACATTATGTTTAACTGGCAAAGTGTAAGAATTGGAACTAAAGTGAGATTCCAAAGTGAATTCCAAATTGAGAGTCAGAGAAGCTTTACTGAATTTTGCTAGTTTGGCTACTTTGGCCATAAATGTTAAATTCTTTTTGAACTCACTTTGAATTCTCAGTTAGGTGAATAACCCTGAGCTGAGAATATTTCCATAGAGTGATTATACTAGCCCCCAGGGTAAAATGACTAGAAACTGACCAACGAAACATTCAGGTTACATACCGAAGAAACATCGCTGGGTGAGGGGTCATCTTTCTCTGGTGGGGAGTTGAAACGTATAAATGACAGTCCATAGGCCATATTCTAAAGAAAGAAATAAACAACAACAGTTTCTGACATGAGCACAGATTCTAAAATAATTAAATAGAACAAATGACCAAGCGTTTAAAAAACAATAATTCAGTGTCTGATCCATTTCGCAAGCAGTATGAAAGATGTGGATTTCCTGGATTAATAGAACTTGGAAATTACTAGACCAGTGGTCACTGTTTGTGCTTGAGAATTGAATGTAGAAACACTGTGTTAGATTGCAGACATCTCACTTACTTTATTGTAGGGTTGAGTACACACTATCTTTGCCCTGTCCCATTTCTTCTCTGCTGTTGCCTTCACCAGCTTGTCTGGTCCAAACATCCGGAGTCGGTTACGGTTTTTCTCGCTCTTGCTCTCACTAGGAGACATGAACGACGATGTGGCCAAAAGCACCTGACACAAAGGGAACATTAGTTAATTGTTATTCTCTCCAATCTAGAGAAATATCCAAAAAGAAAACATGGCATGCCCCAGTGATCTCAAACAAATCCCATACTCTATTCAAAGGACATACCGAATACAATGGCAGAGTTACTCACTAAAGTGGGAATTGTTGGGTACTCACATTGAATTTCAAATGTAATGCCAAAATAGTTGAATTTGAAAAATTCTCCCAGTCAGCTATGCTCCTACTTCAATTATTTTGGTCTAAAATTTTAAATTCACTTTCAATTTTAACAACACTCCCTTTAGTAAATAACCCTGCGGACTGGTCAATCTCACACCAGAACAAATCTCCAATAGTTTTTTTATCACCTGAAACTGATTTTGTCACCCACCAGCTCGCTGATCTAATTTAGAAAGATGGCTCTCTTTCAAAACAGAATAGGCCCTATGAGTAAAATATTATAACAGAGGTATTAAGGGGGGTAATTTATATCACCTCAGAGAACTGCACCAAAAACATACTTTGTGAACGCAAGCTCTCCCAGGACGTGTTTTGGTGGTGGTTATTTTTTTTTATTAAATAAAAATGGAAACTCTATGAAATAAAGGTTTCTCTACTAAGCTACCCTCAGTTGAATTACTGCCTGGGTTTCATGGACTGCTTTTGTGATAGGATCAGATATACAAAACAGAAAGAAAACTTTGCAGTATGTCTGGTCTCAGTACGATGGTGGTCCCCGTATGTACAACGCTGGATATTTGTTATGGGATCCAGCATATAAAACGTGAGGGAAAAGGTTTGTTTTTGGATGGGGAAGGGGAGGCAAGGACAACCTTTAAAATAACCAGACTGATTAAATTTAAAAAGCAAAGAAACGTAAGCAGATGGATTCGAACACACAGCTTAATTTAATTATCAGAGATCATGACAACACAAAATGTTTAAAAATCTTTTTAAGGTAGACTGGAAGAAAGAAGATTTCGTCTAAGGCAAAGGAAAGGTTTTTTTACTGTAAGAACAATAAGGATGTGGAATTCTCTGCCTGAAGAAGTGGTTTTATCAGAGTCCATACAGATGTTCAAACAGCTACTAGATGCATACTTGCAAAAACAATATTCAAGGATATAATCTTTCAATATAGGGTAATAACTGCTTGATCCAAGGATAAATATGACTGCCATTCTGGGGTCATAAAGGAATTTTTTTCCTAGCTTTTTGCAAAATTAGAAGTGCTTCAAACTTGGGTTTTTTGCCTTCTTTTGGATCAACAGCAAAAAACAAATGTGAGGAAGGCTGAACTTGATGGACTCAAGTCTCTTTTCAGCTATGTAACTATGAAACTTGAACGTTCCAGCACCAAGGACTTCATCATTAACTATCAAAGTGATCTCTCTCCAGCAAATTTAAAAGATATAAATTCTCACCTCATACTCCTGCTCACTGGCAGAGGTGGAGTGTCCCACCAGCACCTCCACGAAGGCTGAGCACTCATTACCGATGTCAATGCTGTGAATCTGCTCCTCCTTCTCAAACTGAACCAAAAAACAAACAGCCTCAGTGGAATACTGTTATGGGAATTATGCACTATTTACCTAATACAATTTTACACAATAATTCTGTGTGCTTTTTGCTTTGACCTAGACATGTTTTTAAATAAATGCTGTTTTCCCAAGTTGTCACGATTGTAACATGCAAGCCTTTTAACAGCCTCTACAGAACAGTATCTCTTTAAAACGCAACCATTGTGGTGCAGTGACAACAAATACAAGCATGAGCCAATAGATTGCATAAGAAACAATTTAAATGCATTTTTCTTTCTAAATTCCTTATTTTAAACAATTTGAAGTCCCCCTCCTTCGTTCCCTAAGATCCATACCTGCAAAATCACAGAGACCTGCTTCTCGCCAACTAGCCTGGATCTCCATTTGTGAAACGTATCACTTCTCAGCAAGTTCTCCGCTGTGTGAGTCTGGGAGGAAAACAGACGTGTTCGTGAAACAAATGCAACATCCACCCCAGAGATAAAAAAATTCTCTAACCTATTTCTGAAAGAAATGTTTGTATATCCTGCAGCACCTGTGGTTTAATATATCTCCACTGGTGCTCAAAGTTTCCACTAGCAAGACACAAATGGAGCCATAGCAAATTCACCCCAGGTGAGTATGCAATGGACTTTCCAATAGACGAATATCTTTTAAAGCCTGTTAGTAGTGCAGGAATTAAAATTTTAGATCCTGATAGCTACACTGCACAGTGTTGCAAATACAAGTGGACCAACTAAAGGAACCCTCCAAGCACCATAACCACCCTGGTCCTGGCGCAGTCATATAGTAAATAGCTAAACCGTTACAGTATGGTCTGAAATCCTACTTGGGTCTTGCTGGATGTCTGCAGCCTTCGCTTCCAGTCTTCCCCAGCACGAAAATCCATTGAGCTCCATAGAAATAAGCAAGGCATGTAGCACTGTCCTCATTGCCTAAAAGCGTCAGTTAAACACGCTCAGACAATGAGCACAATCCTGAACCAGAAATAAATGCTAGCGAACAGGTAAAAAGAACCACAAAGTGATACCTGGATCTGAATACAACGACCTGTATTCTTTAGACTGTATGTTACTCACATTATCTGCACTGCTGCAGGAAACCACATGTTTCAATTTGATTTCAGGCATTGTTTTCAAACACTGGCTCTCAGCTGGGAGTTCAATATGTGCTTTTCTACTTCAGATATAGGAACACTGCCGCAATCTTCCACTTCATGTATCTAGGACGAGACAAAAGCATTACCACGACATTAAAATAAATACATATTAAAAAAGATCAATTAAAGCGAAATATCCAACAGACCAGCAGAATAGGTAAAAGAAGGAAATGCTTTGTGTATGGGTACTGAGGGGGAGAAAACACACTTTAAATCAATCTCAGGATTCTAATAGATTTTATAAAACGTAAGGGTGTTCAAACAGCAACAATCTAGCTGTTTACAAGCTACATGAACCTCAAATGTGTAGATTTACAGATATTTATAAAATGCCTACTGCGTGTAATCTTAGTATTGTCACTGGCTGCAATGCAGACTTGCGGCAGTTACACACATCATACCAAACATTAGCAGCAAATCTACACAAATCACTTTGGTATAGGTTACTGATGATACCATAAGATGCATCTTTTCCACTGAAGGATTGGAGCACAGCAGCTGGAATGCTACAGGGTGTTTCTTCCCTATCATTACAATAACTGTGGAGTTCAACATACAGGTTAAGGATCTCTTGAAGGCTGCAATTGCTGCTCATGACATGTTTTCATTCATCATTTCAGGACTGTCTGTGACAGTCACCATCTTTATCTCTCTATACCTTACAGATACCCTGATATTGAGATGATGTGGCTTTTACAAAACTGACATTAGCGAGCCCAAAACATTTGTTCCAGGCTGGCTAATGACTCTCCAATGAAACTGCCAGATATGGAGCCCAGTACCAAAAGGGTGAAACCCTGCACATACAGACTCCAGGCACCATGACCACAACATATCACGCATGAAAGGCTATCGCCATGCAGGGCGCGCTCACACAGTGTATCCAGGGCTATCTACATGCAGGGTGTTAGTACTGTATGTAAATGGAGGTGCTAGGTATCCATGCTCAGCGTGTCAGCGGGGGTGCTTGGTGGACATGCTCAGCGTGTCAGCGGGGGCGCTGGGTGGACATGCTCAGCGTGTCAGCGGGGGCGCTGGGTGGACATGCTCAGCGGGGGCGCTGGAGTGTGTGAGTGGGAGTGCTGGGTGTATATACTCAGTGTGTGAGTGGGGGTGCTGGGTATATGTGAAGAAAAACCCTGTTTTATGGACTTAGACTGTTTTATTCCACCCCCCCTCTTAGAACAGTTTAAACCCTTAATACCGGTCATATTTTCAAACTCTGTCTGACCCTTTTTACTGTCAGTTTGTTTTCCTGAGAGCAGGAGTGGTCTTACTGCAGGGATACTGTTGCTTTGTGTGGCATTAAACAGATCTCTACCCAGCATTAAGCCTCGGCTCATGTGTGGAGGGTTGTGCTATGCTTGTGTCTACACTCTGCCTGGAAGGATTATTCACTAACTACTGGGAGAATGGGAACCCAAGACTGTCAGAGATGGTTGGACCGTCACAATTGGTGGCAGCGGCGGGATCGTCCCTTTCTCATGAATTTATCATTCAAGGCTGAACCTGGAGCATGCATGGAAGCTTACTACAACCAGCTCAAGCGCAACACCCTGAAAGACTTATTGCAGGTTCGAGGGGGCAGCGGTAGCAATAAGACCAAGCACCGTATTGTAAGCGAACTAATGGAGCTGGACAGGGAAAGCCTGGCTGTGGGAACCCCGGCTGTTCGTGCAGAAGAAAGCGAAGTGGACCGAGAAATAAGGGAACAGCTGGCGCTCGGGCCAAACCCTGTGCCAGAAATCATCCTTCGCATAATTGACAGTGCGAATGAAAATGCAAATAAGCGACGGGAATTACAAATCCGCTTAGTGGAGGCGCAGAGAACTACAGCGGTCGCACTGAGCAGTTACAGCTTTAACCCCGAACCGCAGAAAATTCCCTTCAGCGCATTCAAAGCATTTGAGGACACTACAGAGGAGATTGATGGCTATTTGGCGGATTTTGAGAGACAATGTGCCCTACACAAGATACCAGAAGGAGAACGGGTTCCAATTTTGGCTGGAAAGCTCTATGGCAAAGCAGCTGATGCATTCAGAGCCATTCCTGATCAGGACATAAGCAGCTATGAGCGGGTGAAGGAAGCCCTCCTAGCCCGGTACGCAGTGACCCCAGAGGCGTACTGGCGAAAATCAGGGAGTCCAGGAAGACAGCAACCGATTCGTACACGGAGTGGGCTTGCAGGCTGCATCAGGCAGCCACCCACTGGGCGAATGGATGCCAAGCTACCACCCTGGAGGAATTATTACAGCTGGTGCTGCTTGAACAGTTTTTCGCGCTGCTACAAACGGATGTAAAGGAATGGGTGAGGGATCGTAAGAAGCAGCCCGGCTTACAGATGAATATACGGATGCCCGCAAGCCGGAACGACCGTCAGACCTCAACCAGCACGGGTTGAGCCACCAGCACCACTGTCAGGGGGCACCTATCCACCACCACAGCGAGCCCTAGCAGGCGTTAGTCGACCTCCCCAGACTACGGGACCCAGATGTTTCCGGTGCAAGCAGGTGGGACACTGCCGCAGGGATTGCCCAATGGAACCTACCCAATCTACGTGGAATCGTCTATCCGGTACCAGCTCCCGACCAGCAGTGCACACCATCGACTACCCTGTGTCCTCTACCTGGGAGGCCCAGGAGTTAACTAGAGAGGAGCCCTTGGGGTTCCTTCATGAGGTCAACCCGGTGCAGGCCGCCAGCGGAGATAATCGACAACACCACCAACAACTAGTGATGGTTAATGGCAAGACAGTGCAAGGCCTACGAGATACAGGAGCCACCATCACCCTAGTACAGAGATACTTGCTCAACAACCACGAGCCACCCGGCAAATCCATCGCTATACGGGTAGCCGTCTACAGGATTCCTACCGCCAAAGTTCATTTGGATTGGGGTGTGGGGTTTGGAACGGTGAAAGTGGGAGTCATGAAGGATTTATCTGCAGATGTGATCCTCAGAAATGACTTAGGTCCACTTACTTCCGCCTATATGCCTACACCTAACCAGGAGGTTCACGCTGTGACTATCCAAGCTCAGAGCCACGCTGCAGAAAGCCACTCTCAAACTCCAGAGACCCAGGTAAGACATGCTTCCCCGACCCTGACGGAAAAGCCTGTACCCTGGGACACCCCTGAAGATTTTGGGAAAGAGGTAGCGGGAGACGCCACTTTGCTAAGATACCGGGAAAAGGCTATCTCTGACCCAGGGGAACTGGATGGAGAATAGTATATGTGGGAGGGGGGCCGGTTGTATAGGATTTACAGATTCCAGAACCAAAGCCCCGGGGCCAAGGCAAAAACATCAGCTAGTGGTATCCCAGAAATACAGGCAGGAGCTGATGAGGATTGGGCATGATATTCCATTAGCCGGACGGCATACCGAGTAACCCAAAACTTCTTCTGGCCGGGAATCTCTAACGATGTCCGGCGGTATTGCCAAACGTGCAAAGTATGCCAGCGGGTGGGTAAGAAGGGTGACCACCCTAAAGCTAAGATGGTTCCAATGCCCATAATTGAAGAACCCTTTAGTCTGTGAGTGGGGGGGTGCGGGGTGTATACACTCAGTGTGTGAGTGGGGTGCCGGGTGTATACACTCAGTGTGTGAGTGGGGGTGCCTGTGTGTGAGTGTATACACTCAGTGCAAGTGGTGCGGGTGTATACACTCAGTGTGTGTGAGTGGGGGGTGGGGGTGTATACACTCAGTGTGTGAGTGGGGGGTGTGGTGTATACACTCAGTGTGTGAGTGGGGGTGGGTGTATACACTCAGTGTGTGAGGGTGGTGTATACACTCAGTGTGTGAGTGGGGGGTGCTGCACACTCAGTGTGTGAGTGGGGGTGCAGGGTGTATACACTCAGTGTGTGAGTGGGGGGTGCTGGGTGTATACACTCAGGGGGGGTGCTGGGTGTATACACCAGTGTGTGAGTGGGGGGGTGCAGGGTGTATACACTCAGTGTGTGAGTGGGGGTGCTGGGTGTATACACTCAGTGTGTGTGAGTGTGGAGTGCAGGTGTATACACTCAGTGTGTGAGTGGGGGTGCAGTGTGTGAGTATACACTCAGTGTGTGAGTGGGGGTGCCGGGTGTATACACTCAGTGTGTGAGTGGGGGGGTGCCGGGTGTATACACTCAGTGTGTGAGTGGGGGGGTGCCGGGTGTATACACTCAGTGTGTGAGTGGGGGTGCCAGGTGTATACACTCAGTGTGGGGGGGTGCTGGGTGTATACACTCAGTGTGGGGGGGTGCTGGGTGTATACACTCAGTGTGGGGGGGTGCTGGGTGTATACACTCAGTGTGTGAGTGTGAGTGCAGCTCCTGGGAGTGTGAACTCACTGTGCTGCTCCGCCGGTGATTCACACACTGTTTCAGTGGAGATGCCGCGCACGAACCTCCCGCCCCGGAAGTGATCCCCTCACAGGCAGGCTGGGACTCGATTCTTGGCAGGAGCACTTCCGTTACCGTACACTCGGAAGTTGTAGCCTCCATCTTGGTACACCCAGAAGGCTAGCACTATAGGTGGAGTCCGCCATGTTTGTACACCGCGCGTGTTACGTGAGAGCTGGCAGGAGCCTCCATCTTTGTAGAGCGCGCTAGAGGGGGTAGTGGCGGCCATCTTTGTACACCCATGGTGGTTGCATTACTGGGTATTGGGCACTAGCTCTCAGATACTCAGCCTTCTTGTTTTCATGGACACATCATGTGTTCATACCCTGCAGTATATAGCATTCATATTCTGCTTCCCCTGTGATTAGCTTAATTATTTCTTACAGCAGGTTATTGTTACATGCTGCAAGGCCATCACTTTTCATGCACTGCACATAGCTTTAAAGGGCTGGTTATTGATTTTGAGCAGTATGGCTGTGACCTGGGATCCCTGGCAGTTTGTGGTCCAATCCTACTTCACAGACAGTGCACTGCAGTGGTTATGGTGCCAGTTGTTACATAATAAATTATCAGTCAATTTACAAAGTATATCCCACCTGGCTGTGTCCGCCTGTGTCCCTTCTGGTCTGCAGTGATATGCAAAAGCGGTAACTCTCGGAATAAATAAAAAAAGGGACATACCTTGAAATAGTCCCTTGGTGCACTGCTTAGGGTCAATTTCTCCAACCAGGAGCATCTTGTTCTGATCCATGGGTACTGTCCTATACCATAAATCCCTCTCCAGCAGAGGTTTATATGTTAAGTACTTTATCCCCACCAACAGTTCGTGTTATCACATAATGTGGCAGGACCGCTGCCTGTTCGTGGATTTCCCTGTTTCTTTTGATGTGGTTCCCTTATATTTTCGTGTTTGTACCCGCTTCCCATTCGGGAGGGCTGCCGCGAAGGATCAGTTTGCCTTCCGAAAGGGGACCACCCCAATACCTAATTTAGAACGCTGGTTTAGAACGTTCTCACCTTGCATCATAAGTGTCAAACTGCAGGGGAAGCAATTAATGAGTGCTTCTCTGGGTGGCCGCCATATGTCTGCCACCAGAGGGAGCATTCGTGGATTGTTTCCCGACTCATTTGTCTCCAAACGATGACCTCCCCAATGCCCCATTAGAACGTTCACACCAATCAATCAGAACGTTCACACTCGCAACATAAGTGTGAAACCGAAAGGGAAGTAATTAATGAATGCGCTCCTGGGTGGCCACCATTTCGTATAGACGAATGCCGTCCAGGGGGAGCATTCGTATCCGAAAGGAGACGCTTCCCTTGCAGGGTTTCACACAGGGACCTCGCAAGCGAAGACTGGTCGAGGAGGGCCCTGCTGTGAGGGTCCCTGAGGTTGGTGTGGACACTTATGGGGCACTAGCTAGGTTAGCGGCATTTTTCGTACCTGCAGGGACAAAGAAACAAGCTCTTTTCCCGCGGGCAGGCTTTTCTGTGCCTGGGAGACAAAGGGATGGTCTCTTTTTCCCACGCCTGCACTCCCAGGCACAGATGCTTCTAGGAAGAGGACTCCTGGCGGTTGGTGTGGGAAACCCTGTGGTTTCAGTGGCGGGTTTTGGGGACAAAGTTAACGGAGTCCCTTCCCACGCTAGGACCCCTGGGAGAGGGAGGATCCTGGTTGTGACCCTGTATGGTTGTGTGGTAGACCCCTTGCACGGGGTTATGCATAAAAGCCGTGTGTGGCCAATAAAATTGTGTTTTACCTCCAGAACTTGGTGTCGTCCAGTTACTGGGGGGAAATTGGTCTTTTATCATTATAAGTGGTTTCTGAGCGGCTGAAGGAAGGAATTAGCGTAGATGACCTGTCGGCTAACCCGGGGTCCTCTACACATAATATGATTGGAACTGTACTGCAAACCAATAGCAGCTATAAGAAAATTACTTTTAGTGGTGAAGATCCTCCTATACGATAAACCAGAGAGTCATGAACTTCATTTTAAAGATGGCAGCTTTAACCTGAACCCCCACTAGATGAGCCCTCAATCAACGATGAACACACGTGTAGGTTCATAAAGAACTACCTTAATATTTAAATGCGTAGCAACATAGTAAACTGTATTCATGTCTAGAGGTGTGATGTAACTTTGTGCCAATCAAGAGTTAACACATTTTCAAAGCTATGCATCTCGTGGGCCATGAATCCAGCCCATCATTCCCTAGCTGGCATTATTTTATGTCTGTTCGAAGCTCGTGATTTCTCAGTAATTTGCTGCCTAACCAAAAATTAATTTGCTGGGGAATAAAAACAGAAAATATGAATGTCCACAAAATATTACAGCCAATTAGTAATGCATAAAACAAAGATTGGGACTATCGCCTAAACATGGTTGTATCAAAAGGTAAAACAAAAAAAATTCCATCAGCGGCCATACTGTAAATCAAGCATGTCAAACTCAAAGGCTAGCACGGGCCACATAAACAGGGTTTAAATTTATGCGGGCCACAAAAAAAATCCCCAAAAACTTGGTGTGTTTTGAAAAGTACAGTATAATAAAAAAAGAAATCATCATCCCCCTCTACTAAACCACAGCACCCCACCTCTACTAAACCCCAGTCCCACCCTCTGTACAAAATCCCAGCCCCCCCCTATACTAAATCCCAGTCCCCTCCCTATATTAAATCCCATCCCCCCCCCTATACTAAATCCCAGTCCCCTCCCTATATTAAATCCCAGCCGCCCCCCCCTCTATATTAAATCCCAGCCCGCCCTCTACTGAACCCTGGCCCTTGTTTAAAAAAAAAAAAAACAATATTAGCCAACAAGCAGACTCCATTCACATTGCTGCTGACAGAATGTGACTCTGGAGTCCAGCCTGTGGTATACCCCCAATAGCGCCATCCGCACCCTGTGCCAAAGTGAGTCATCCCGCTACTCCTTGAAAACCTGTGAAGGTGGAGAACGTTGAGTCACGTCGGAATGTGACGTGGCTTGCTTACCTCCAGGTCCTCCTCTGTCCAGCTGCAGCCATCGCAACACTGACCAACACACACAGACACACACACACTCTCTGACAGAAACTCCCACTCTATGACAGACAGGCACACACATTCTCTGACAGACAGACACACACACACACTCTCTGACAAACACATACACACAGACACTCTGACAGACACACACTCTCTGATAAACACACACGCACACACACTCTCTGACAGACACACGCACACACACTCTCTGACAGACAGACACAAACAAACTGAAAGACACACACACACACACACATTTCCAAATTCTTGCACACACAAACATCAATTAAATTATTGCTCCCTACCTTATGGAACTGGTGTGGAGCCTCTTCTCTCAGGAGCTCAGTCTACCTGCTTGCTTCTTCAGTGTTACCTGGTAACAGTTCAATGATGCATTGAACTCGTTTAGTAATTGCCGATCTTGTGATTTTGTTAACAAGACAAGTCGGTTATTAAAACGAATAATCCATTGCTTTTGGTAGCTTAGAGAAGAATTTAGTTAGGCATATTTGAATGTTGTTGAAGGTGGTGAAGCTTTTTATTTTTAACCTGTTTCAGTCATATTCTATTGTTATATAATTATATTTTGGTAGCACATCAACACTTGTCCATGGTTCTGAATGCAACATTAATGCATTCTTGGTGGAATTCAAATGACACTTCTGGTTGAACTTGACCTGCATTTTTAATGCATTGTATGACAAAAATATAGTAAAGTGGCACTTTCATTGTCTGGGGACTTTGCAGAATGTGACTGTGACGGAACGCTGGCACTCCGACTGAGTACCTCCGCCAATCGATGCTCCTAGCGCTTGCCGAGGACTCCAAGCACTCCAACCGACACCATCAGCACTGCAGACCCCACTTCCAGCGATGCAACTGCGCCGGGGTCTCTGCTGTCTCCAGCCACCCTGGACCCAAGGCCAGGATCCAGCTTCCAGTGGGTGAACCTCTCTTTCCCCAGAGAGCAGGAACAGGAACAAGCTCTTAGCAGAACTTAGTGATCATACCCTGGGGAGTATAGTGATTATAGCAATCCCCAGAGTGTATTTCTCCAATCCCCCAAACATGAGCCAAGGCTTAATGCTGGAACAAGACTGATTTACTGGCACACAGAACTCACAATTTATGCAACACAAAACTCCTCCTCTGGGCCAGGCTAGATAATTGAGTTTCTACAATACACAAAGCTCAATTATCTGCTGGCCAGAAATAATACAGTTTCATAAAACACACAGGGACCCCAAAACATGCAATAACCCCATAAAAAGTATATCCTTGGAACCGGGGGATCTGGGTGAACCACATATCCAAAATTCACCCAGATCCGTTCAGTACTTTGGAAAATACAGTTTAATGCAGATTCTGCAGAACATATACAGGCTAAATGAAAAACAATCACTGTATAATGTGTCCCCTGCTGTATAGTCCAAAACCACTGCACGATGTCTCTGTGCACCAAATACTGGCGAGATGGCACCGTGTTGAAAAGTCCAAACAGTGTCTGTGAGTTAAAATGGCCGCCATCCATTGTTCTCACCATGTGCTTCTGATACAGGAAATGGTGGCCACCCAGTAACTCCACAGTATGTCCCCAGATGGTTCTTAAAGGGCCAGCAGCAGCACAACACAAATCCATTATGCCCAAATCATGTCTTTAAAGGGCAATACATCCCAGGGGCCATAGTCACAGGGCAAGAGGCGGGCAAGCAGTCCTCTCCAGGCACAAGTGGCGAAGGGCACTTCGTCACACATCTTCCCTTTGGGGGGAAGACTAAACAGGTACCTGACCTTCTGCCGGTCAGTACCTAGATTAGTCGGGCAGCCCACCCACAAAGAAAAATACGCAGAGTAACCCCCCCACAATAAATGGTACTGGCCTGTAGGTTCAAGTTTGTAGTGGGACAGCGCAGCACTCTCGGTCTCCCTGGTGCAGCTAGGCAAACTGCTGGTGCAGCTAGGCAAACTGCTGGTGTTGCTTGGGGGGCAGAGGCCAGCGGCGCTCTGCCCTGCTGCCAGCTCTT